ATTCGAATTTATATCATCTTACAAGTGACTTTAATCGGTGTTTATATACATAAATGCCTGTATGTGTCTGTTTCAATACCTATTTCGTATTATTGGCACCAACCTCTAAATGGGGTTTACTTAAATGGTAATGTTGCCAAATGGTAAAAAAAAGTCCTTTGGTGTATGCATATGTTACGCCTAATACATCTAAAAAATAAATTATTTATTAATATAAAGACTTTTATGGCTTTTTGGTAATTCTTTTAAAATTTGATAATTATCATTAAAAGTGTGTTTTTCATTTAATAAATGTTCTGCATATGTAGAATCAGCTTCCCCATTAGTATAGCTCCTCCTGTGTTGGGTAATCCTTTGATTGAAGGATCTCCTAGTTTGTCCAACATAGATTTGATTACAGTCCCCACATTCCAATCAATAAACTTTACTTTCGTTTCCTTTAATTGATTATGGAGTTTTAACAAATAAAGCCTTGTACCATTAATTATTTCAAGACTAAAACCATCAAGACCGAATGTGTAAGACCAAAACCAAATAGGTACGCAAGACTAAACGAAAAATTATTACTTCCGGTAGATTTATGAAATCGATTGAGTAACTATTCAGGTCGATGGTTAAAGATTGTATTTCATTAATGTATTACCGGAATGAAAACAAATACAGGGTGCTTCAAAAAAATGTATACACACTTTGAACTTCCATAGAAAATTTANTAGAAAAATTTGTGCTTATATAACAATTGTTAAAAATAACGTTAGTATCAGATTAAATGCTTTGCTCACCACCGTATTCTTTCGATCATATGAGTATAAATATTGTTCTTTTTTGTTGCTTGTAATATTAACCAAAACCTGGAGTGTAGGTAAGTGTACATTAGATGCGAACGTTAATCTGTGTCAGTTTGTAAGGGGCGCTCTAATGAAATAGTAAGGTAATATCTAAAGAGTAATAACATTTCAGTGGCTTTATAAGTAAGAACTTAATCCATAAGAGACAGTGACACACACTTAAATAACACTTCTACCGGCAGGAGGCATTTTATGAAGAAATTAATTTTGAAATTGTCAAGTAGTGTTATAGTTATTATGCCTACAAAGTAATATCAGGCTATAGAATTAAGGAAGGCCATAGAACGACCTAAATTAATTAATTAAATCTTATATAAACACTAAGTAGATCGTCAACGCTATAGAGCCAGTTAAGAATTTGTAATTCCGAAAAAGACGTTTCATTACTGCCCTCTTTCTGAATCGTCTTATCCTTCCCCTTCTAACGTTTTCAACGTTTGTTGCAATTAGAAAGGACCCGGTGAGCTCTTAGAAGGTTTTAATGTTTTGATTTATTTTGTTAATGCGAAGGCAAATTCCTCGATTAATTAAAAACTCTCCGGGTTGTCGCAGCGATGAAGTGGTACTCATTTTATTCTTTTTGTCGATTCTCTCTTAAATCTAAATACCTGGTTTTGTTAAGATTTATCTTGCTTAATTTATAAGGTGGAGTTATTTTTTTTTTTTTCGCATAGTTCGACTATAATATTATCATCCGATATAAAGTATCTTTTTCCCTATTTGAAAAACCAAATTATGAAATCGTCAATTTCAATACTAATTTGTTAAATTCTAAACTAACAAAAACTACTTAGCGCTTTCATAACATCCGCCTCTTTGGCGAGCAGGCGTGAATCACTTGATGAAAGTCATTAAATAACAAACTTAAATCTACGAAAACATCGAAAGAATTACAACAAGTGGTATAAAAGAATTCCGTTGAACTCATTGAAGTGAAATAAGTGGAACGATTCTCGCGAATAATGACATATGAAATATGGTATAGTTAGCAAACAATTTGAATTTATGCACTTTATAGGTTTCATATATGATGTCTTCGAATAGAAAGGCTTGATTTGTTAGAACAAAAGATTTGAGAACAGCACGTGATATGAATATTGTTACGAATCCGATCCGATTTCCTTCCTTAATATGCATAGTTGGTCTCAGTTGTAAACTAGGGTTAAAATTTATAGGTTTAAGTGTTTGAATGGAATAAAGGAGGTGTCGACGGTAAGGATCAGAAAGGATTCTAGGTAATCAGGCGGGCTCTACCCTTTAAATAATGTAAAATGAAGAATACGTATACAAGGTTTTTCGAGTACTCTGCTCGTGAAAGTTTTTGTAGATCTGACAGGTAAACGAAATAATCTTGAAAGATAACATCGGGTATTTTGTGATCGACAGCAAAAAGTGTAAGGTACCTGCGATTTAAATTAAATTTAAATTATGGTCATTTACGATTTATATATCGAGTCCTTTTTAGGCCGGCCGCACATTGTAAGAATGTTTCTGTTAAAAATTTTTGATACTAGCCGGAAGGCACTCCACGCATACGTTTTGTTGTAGCACACCGCACATCATCATAATTTTGACGCGTCTGACTCCCGCTTCGGATGATCACTTGATGCATTCCGACCGGACGGACGTCAGAAATTTATCCGATCATAATGCCGGAAGGCGTCCTCTCTGTACGTTCTCTACTAGACCCTGCACACCTATCAGAAATTATCGTTTTTTTTCGAGGGGGCATATGTTTATTGTATACAGTGAAAAAAGTGGCGAAATTGAATATTTTATTATAGGGGTTGAAAAGTACTCTTGTTTATGAGATTTATGTGACAAAAACTATCATTTGACCTGGAATGAAATTTTGTTGTTGCGGACAAAACCTAAACTCGCCGGAACAAAATTTCTGATAGATGTGCGGTGCGGTACCGGCAAACATCAGGATTTTTGTAACAGAAAAATTCTTGCAATGTGCGACCGGCCTTACCGTATTGTCCGTTTTAGATTTTTCACTTATCGTAAATTAACTGCAAAAACGCATTGCCACTCAAACAGCGACGATATAAACTCAATCTTCGGATATTTTGTTTTCTTTTTTTATTTTGAAGGGTTGCAGTTGTTCACATAAAGTTTGTTTTCTTGCAATACATATGTACATCAAGTAGCAGTGACTATTTCATGAAAATAAATCACACTGTATACTAGTTAATATGAGAAGATTCACCTAAGCCGTGGCGCCTTTACCCTCGTTCCCTCTCTCGTTGCCGGGAGCAGCCGCGCGACAGCGTCGATTCGCTCAGCACATTTTCCTAGATTTCGCAACGGCTTGATGACTTAAGCCCTCTTTATCCCCTTTTAGCCGTCGCTGATTTACGTCCACGCTCTAACACGGTTTCGCTGGCAATTAACACTGTTAGTCGGGGTAATCCTATGAATGATGTCGGTTGGTGACGAATGCGGCCCGCAGGTGTGGTGCGGATCAGCGGTATCGCATGCGGGCCCTCAACCCCGATCAGTAGTGGTAACAGTGGCTGATTACCAGAATAACAAATCCGACACTACCTCCTACTGAATAATATCACGAGCAATATTGATGACGCTACATCAACAAAACGAAAATCCTCTATTCTCTTTGTAAATTCAAAATAAATTACTGTCCTCTACTTTTAATATTTTTACGAAAATTTTTATAAATGCAATCTGATTCAAAGCTGCATTTGCATACAGCCCCCTCGATTTTTAGAGGTCCGTAACGGTTATTTATTCAATCTTGCCTGAAATTTTATCATAATTCTAGTTTTAAAAATGCTGATTTATATTAAATGACAGTAAAAAAAAATTGATTGTTAATTCTGATGAATTATTAACCAATTGATCTTAATACTTGGTACCGATATCTACGCATAAATCATATAATGGTTTAAAGTTGTAGCCCTACAAGGAGTTACTTCACAAAAGGATAAGAAGGCAATAAAAAATAGGTAGTAATTGCGTAAGACAATTGGAGTAAAATAATCAAATGCTTTAATGCAGATACGCTGTAGCTCTTATCCTGGAAATAGTTCGCGTTAATGGTGTCGCTTCGAAAAGTTGTTCTTTTGTTAGGGTAGGACTACATGACACCGATTGCGGACTTCTAATAGCGATTTCACACCGATTCGCATTAGGTTCTCACGTTTGTACAAACAAAAATAAACAACTAAAGTCCTAAATGTTTACTTTTAACTAGTAGTTTACACTATGCAAATCTTTTTATAATTTAATGATAGATAATATGTTGTATTTATGATGTTGAATTGTGAAAAACATTTTCAAATCAACAACAGTTGCTGGCCTACATTTTCTAGCTACAGTTAATTTTGTAACATGTTCTAATTCCAAAGCACTTTCACATTTGTACTGTGGATAATATTTTTACTTCAAAATCATACAATCTAACATTGATTATTTGTCCAGAAACAGCAAATTACCCTTTTAGTTGTCATACTTTATAAATCGCAGTACGTAATGATCTATCTCCACTCTGCTCTTTCTAATTTTATTGTTTACTAGCCACAATCAGCCTACTTCGCTATTCGCCCCTCCGAAGTAGGTGTTTGATTAATATCAAAGAGCATTAAGACCAAATAATTCACAATATAGTAATCATATTTTAATAACAGACATTGTGTTTACCTCTAGCCAATCCCGAAATTAATATAAGAGCTCGTTTGAAAAATGGCCATGCTTCGTATCATATCAAAGCTGTTCATCGAAGCGCGTAAATCTCCCACTTGCCGACAAACGCATAACATTCCAACGGCAAAACTATTACTTGCTCATAATACGAATTTGTTTGAAACAAAATTAATTTCATACCGTATGCCCTCAAACGGACATGTATACAAGCAATTTAATCTGATCCGGCAGTTCTGCAAACCGTCTGAAGTTACCTAACACCTCAGTTATTCATATCATTTTTAAAATTAGTGGTATATACGTATCCTAAATAGAAAAATTGAAAACATATCAAAACTGTCAAGTATCACGAATTTACGTCTAAAGCAGGAATTCATAATGAGATTGATATTATTTGCATCTTTTACTTTTTTAAATATACCTATACTTAATTCTGTTCAAACGATTTACCTTGATTTCAGCGAAAATATTTGTCTTTATTGTAAGGTCTTTCAGGTAAGAGACGAAAAGATCCATCCAGTTGTCCAGTTTGTGGAATGTCTATATCACCGGGCGATTTAGAAACTCATTTCATGAGAGAACTGGATAGACTTTATAAATTAAATGGTTCAGGAAGTATTAATCTGAGAACAAGAAGAAATGAACCTTCTCGACCTCCTGCTCTACCTGGTGATAGTGGACCGGAAGGGCGGTGGGAGGTAATAGTTCATTCGCTTTTTTAAGAATTTTTTTATATTTATTTGTTTGTTTAACACAGATCTACTATTAGTTTCAATTCTCGTTGTAGACATTTCAACGAATTAAAACAAATCGACAAGGAAGGCTCAAACTGAAAATCAGAAAACGAAAAGCTGATGATGGATGTCCGGTCTGTATGAGTCACATTCATAAAGATGAAATTTGTTTAAGAAAAGTAAGCTAAGGATGTTATTGGCCCTATACGTACAATTATGTTATTATTCATTATAATATATTTTGATTAATCCTTATTCACTATTTAAGGGCACATCTAATGATGAAGATGAAACTGTTGATGTGGAAGGTTATTCTGAATTAGAAGATTGGAATGAAGTGAGAAAGCGTAACTCGACTTCTGTTAGTGGTAAAAAAAGAAATTTTACATCCATGGCATTATTTCTTGACCACCATTTTTCCACAGCCGACCGAAGCAGTCGCATGAGTGTTGAAACAGAAACAGAAGACCTTATTGTAGATGGTGATGAACCTGAAGAATCTACGTTTGGTCCTAAGCAATATTCAGAATCGGATCTTTCGGATAAAGCAGAAGAAAAATCAAAACAGAAAGAAGGGACGCAATCTCAAGTAGCTACAGTTAATTCTAGTGGAGATGTGGAAGTTAAAGTAGAGAGTGGCGGACAGCAGTGTGATAGTAATGTTAGCACATCTGATGCGGAACCTAGCAGCAGGCTTCAAATGATCGAAGAATTGAGGAGTAGGATAAGGCAACTGGAAGCTGAAGTAACCACGGAAACTGCCACTAGTACAGATATTGAAGAATACAAGTGTCTAATCTGTTTGGTAAGACGAAAAACAGAAGTATGACTTATTTGAAATATTTATACTTAAATAAATGCAATACCAATACAAAATTGCATACCTACTTTTATGTGCTCCTCGAATCAGTGGCGTAACTCGCATTTATGAAGGGGTGGGGCAAAATAAAAAATGATTCAATAACTTCACAACGTTAATTTCACTTTCTCAATAGACAAGGCAAATTTATATAATATAATAATGATGAATTTTTTGGTGGGTTGCCCTCCACACTCAAAGGTTTTTAAATTAAAAATAGAAAAACAAAGAAACAGTTAGCCCTTCAGAAACCATAGCTTTAATGATAAGCAAAACATGTATCTACTTTTCCTAATGAATTCATATAGAATTTGAAATGGAAGATAATTTCATATTTTTCATCCAATTATTTTTTTATTATTATGCGACGAAATTACAAATTTTTGCCAAAAACATTCAAATTTAAAAGGGCTTATTATTAGTTAATTAAAATGCACTTTCAGTCTCTAAAATGCTTTCAAACTACACACAACTGGTACTAATCGTAAATTTCATGTCCCTCTTTAAGGAACATTACAAAAAGCCAGTCATTTCAACTGTTTGTTGGCATGTTCATTGTGAAGAATGTTGGCTGCACACACTCGTAAGTATCTATTTGGGATAGTCATATCGTATTAGTAGAAATATTTAGAACCTCTAAGACTTAAAACACTAAAAACCTTTAAAAAAATGAATATTAGAGCAATATTTACAAAATCAATTAAATTTCGTCCGGATTACTTTACGAATAAAAGATATTATTTAATTTTTTTTTAGGGAAGCAAGAAAGTTTGTCCTCAGTGTGGAATGATAACGTCTCCATCAGATCTTCGAAGAATTTTTATGTAATTTGAGTAAAAACTGCGACTATTATACAAAAAATATATTTCAGCACCGTACTTTACTCATTGCACAATTGTAATAGTAGCTTATTGTTAGCCAAACAATTCATAAACGTTTAAGAAGGAACGTCTTTGTCATAACACTGCTTTACTCAATTTACTTAAAAATTCGTTAAAGGGTTCGTACCTATATTGTACTTATTTACCTTGTTCCTTGTTATTTTAAAAACTAATATAATCTTATGTACATTTGATGTAGATAATATGTTAAAATAAAATGTATTAAAATCTGTGATCATTTTCAATTTTAATTTGGAATCATACACGAATATCAATTACAACACTTTTGACAGATTCCCTCCAAACAAATTAATATTCACTCAGCTCACCCCTCAAAGCCCTTGCGATGATGGTGCTACCGGGTGACAAATGTCTAAACACTAGTGCAGACAGGCAGTGCGATTGCAACTCCTACAGGCTTCTACATTTCCTATATTTACAGATCTAGTTTTTATACTTAATATTTTTACAGTATTAATAATATTAATGTTTATTATCGATACTTATTTGTTATTGTTTATTACCATCAATATAAGATGTAATTTGATCAATATGGCATTTCCAACTTTTATTTATATTTTTTATTTAAGTATAACCTCGAGAAGGGGAAATCTTCTAAAGACATCCCCCAAAAGGGGGGTAGTGTCAAATTCACTCCCGATGGGAGCGCCTACCGACTAAAAACCCTCCTCGAGTTGGTAAATCAACCTGGATCAACCTAGGGGCTATAACTACCAGGAGACCAAGTTTTATTATGCGTAGTACTAAATATTTAGGTGGTAGACGGTATATATGTACCTCTAATCTATGGGTCGGACTTCCCCGGATGTATGGAAACCGACTCTTATCTCATTCGAAACTTACATTAAATTATCTTAAAAATAGCATGAAAACGAAGAAAAAAAATAATTTGATATTGAGTTGATTTATTATTCCTATGCATGAAAAATGTTCTTAACAGAAAAGAAAAAAATCGTAAATTTCAAAAAAAGTTCCATATTTTGTCAATCATTATGGTTGATACCATTGATATTCTTGTCATAAATTGATTTAACCATAGACATATTTTCATATAGTCATTGAACTAGACTGCAGTTCAATGCATATAGTAAACGTCGATGGATTTAACCGTATCTATGAATTTAACTAACTATATATTTCTTTAATCTATGGGTTTAACCTAAAATTATTTTACGTTATAAACATAACCAAATTATTGCTGTGTATTATTTTTACCTAAGTATCAATGTCTCCAAAATAATAAAAAGTTAAAGAATTGTGAAAGTGGCTTTCTAGCAAAATATATAGTGATAGTTGTTTATGGTTCTCTACATAATATGCCGAGGAATATTACATTAATTTTAACTAATTATTTCGTTGGTATAGCTATTAGATTATGGCTATTCTTTATAGACTACAACACAATATTTATGAACAGAGTAGAAATATCAACTCCACTTAATTCTTGGAGAAGAGGTACATATATGATGTACATATTTATTTATTTTACTGTATTGAGTACTTTCTGTATTTTTTAATTTCAGTCGTTGAAGCTAATTATATTTCCAAGATTTCTAATTCTCCTAATCCCTATGAGAGTGACGTTATTTATGAACCACCTCTATATCATATGTTTTATATGGTATTATCAAATTTATTTGGAGAACAAATATACTTGATGTTTATTATCGCTGATATATTGACATCATACTGTTTATGTGTTGCTGGCAAGAAGTATCTGGAAACATTATTTAAAAAGGAAATAAGCAACATAGATGATTACTTGCCCGATGCTGTTAATTTCATAATTAAAGAGCAAGAAATAGAATCAGTTGATGTCTACATTGTAGCAGCCTATATGTTGAATCCATATATAATTTTTAATTGTGTAGGATATACTACTACAGTTTTTCAGAACCTCTATTTAGGCTTGTTTTTTGTTGGAATTGTTAAAAGTAAATACATATATACATAAATGTACTACAAACTGCTAACATTTTCAATTTTAGAAAATGTTTTCTTGGCAAGTATATCATTAGCAGCAGCCATATCACAATCCTTTTATCCAATATTGTTGTTGGCGCCTTTATTTGTTACCTTTAATGATAAAAGATTTAATGCTACATTGGTAACAACACTGACTTTAATAATATCAGGTTTAATCTTAATTATTTCAAGTTTTTTAAACCCAAAATGGTCATATCTAAATCATAGTTTAAAATTCATGTAGGTAAATATTAAATAATGCAAACATGGTGTTTTTGTAAATTAATTTTCTTTTAGCTTGTCTGCACCAGATTTCACCCCAAATATTGGTCTGTTTTGGTATTTCTTTATTGAAATGTTTGAACATTTTCGTACGCTGTTCATATATTCATTCCAGTTAAATGTTATAGCTTTATATGTAATTCCCCTTACATTGCGTTTTCGTCAAGATCCTGTATTACTGACTACTAGTTTACTAGGGATAATAACAATATTTAAATCTTATCCTAGTCTTGGAGAAGTTGGATTTGTGTTGGCAGTTTTGCCTTTTTGGAAACATTTACAATTTTGTAAGCATAAGTTCCTTGGACAATTTTTTGCTTTTAATTTTAGAATTAATTTCGTTCTTTTCAGATATGCAGCAAGGCTTGCTTACATCTGTATCTTTTTTCATGGTGACACTATTAGCTCCCACAGTGTGGCATCTCTGGCTGTATTCAGGTTCTGCAAATGCCAACTTTTATTTCGGAGCTACCTTAGCTTTTGCCACAGCTCAAATATTTATGCTGACTGATTTGCTTTTTGCTTATATAAAACGAGAATACATAATAAAATACGGTTGTGTGAAGGAATGTGACGGACAAGAAGCAGTACTTTTATTAGAATAAACAGAAGTTTTGTTGTATATTTCTTTAATGTATTTGAAACCTACAATTAGTTGATATTGTCATCAACATTAGCTTTATATTTTCGAATACATATTATGTTGAACCAGATTGGATTGTGAGGGTTAGGGGATGTGTGGGAAGTAATCCAATATAAGCAGTTATAAATAAAAAATACCGCCAATATAGACTTGAAATGTACTTGAAATATAAGAAATTTTTACGAAAAAAAATTAAAGATATTAATAATGTAGTAATACTGGTAATATAAATTTTGTTTTTGATTTTGAAACCCCATACTTTTTATTCAATTGATGGGATGTCTAAAACTATTTGGAATTTTAAAGGATAGATTCCTTAGTAATAATTACATTTTAAGGTATTGATATTTTTAGAAAAAATTTGTTTGGAAATGTTATAGTCCCGACGTACTTGTAAAAATGGTGCCTTAACTATTAATAAATTATTTTAACCATGTTGCTCATATCAAGCTTGGTACAATTTTTTGAAATAATAATACGTAAAAGAATGATATTTTGTCCAAAATACAGTTTGGACTGAAAAAGTTTTGCCAGAAAAACACAAATTTAAAATAGATTGACATTAGCTGCATAAAAATTATAATTAAATTGTGTTGAAGTGTAGTTACATTAAACTGTTGAAAAGCATATATTATTACTGAAAGAAGAATATTTGTTGAATTCAGCACAGTGGGAAATTTTCTTTTCACATATTACAATTGCTTTCTTAATAAACTAAATAGAAAATTAATAAATTCGAAATTACTTCTATACAAGAAAATTAGAAAAATATTTCGAATTCTGAATCAGATATAAATTACTTTTATTGAAGTATTTAATATTAAATACTTTTAATGCTTGGGATTAAATAATATTTGAAATTTCGTAAAAGTATTTAAATATGTTTTCTTAATACTTTTTCATTTCAAATATTTAGCAAGTATGTCTAAATGACATTTCAAATTATTAGAGGGAATTGCTGGCTAAAAATTGAAAAAGACGAAGATGCTTCCGTCTCTTTTTAAAGAATACGCTTATATGTGATTATATTGTATCATATTGTATGTTGTTTGTATAGTATCTGTTATATGTATATGTGAACTTTAATTTGCCGTTTGTTTTATTAATGTGTTAATTAAATAAAAATTAAAAATGGAACGTTTTCATAAAATAGAAGTTAATAAAACGGTGTGGGAAATACCAGAACGTTATCAAATGCTCTCAGCAGTTGGTTCAGGAGCATATGGGCAAGTGTGGTGAGTAAAGCATTTCCACCACCATTACATTATCAAATTAATTAAATAATTCGAAAATACTAATTCAGTGAATTTTGTATAGAAATACATAAAAAGATAATGAATTTGTCATGAATAAACTTGTTAACTGTTTTAAGGCATTTTTAGGTTAATTGTTAATTTCAAAAGGTGTGCTATTTCTAGTTAAAAGTTATATAAATAACTATTTGTTTAGCTTTATTTTCAACACCCTTCCAAAAAAAGACTATTAACTGGTTTCTTGCCATATTTCAAAGATGAATAGAATATCTTATTTAGTATAAAATAATGTCATTATTTGATTTCTTTAATAGATAAAATGATAAATATGCATCTCTGCATATAAACAAAATGGGATTTAATTTGATTAGTGCAGCACATTTTTGTTTGTTCAAGTTTTATCCTGCTCTTTTTTAGTTCAGCTTTAGATACACAAACAAACACTAAAGTTGCAATCAAGAAATTGGCAAGACCTTTCCAATCAGCTGTTCATGCAAAAAGAACTTATCGTGAACTAAAACTGTTGAAACATATGCGCCATGAAAATGTTATTGGACTTTTAAATGTTTTTCACCCACAAAATGATACAAGTCAAGTAAGTTATAACTTTTTTGATCACAAAGTTAACATACAACAATTTATTTTGTACTGTCAGATCTTTAGCTCTTTTAGAGTAGTGAATAGTTATTACAATTGTAGATATATCTTGTAACCCATCTTATGGGTGCCGATTTAAATAACATAATAAGAACTCAAAGACTTACAGATGAACATGTTCAATTTTTGGTATATCAAATTCTGCGTGGTCTTAAGTATATTCATTCAGCAGGAATAATTCACAGGGTATGTTTTTCATAGAAAGGCACGAATATCATTTGATTATCGATCTTTTAGGATTTAAAGCCATCAAACATAGCAGTGAATGAGGACTGTGAACTAAAAATTTTGGATTTTGGATTAGCAAGACCAACTGAGACTGAAATGACCGGTTATGTTGCAACAAGATGGTATAGAGCACCTGAAATTATGTTAAATTGGATGCATTACAACCAAACAGTAGATATTTGGTCTGTTGGTTGTATTATGGCCGAATTGCTTACTGGGCGTACCTTGTTTCCAGGTTCAGATCGTATCCTTTCGAATTTTAATGTATATTTTATTGTTAACAAAATTCTACATTTACCTTTACTATAAGATAGATATTCATCAATTGAACCTAATCATGGAAATTTTGGGAACTCCCAGTGAAGAATTTCTTCAAAAAATAACATCAGAAAGTGTAGGTATTAGTTCATACAACAATAAGATGTATAAGTAATAAAAGTTTTTTTAGGCTCGTAATTATATAAAATCATTACCACCCATGAAGAAAAAAGACTTAAATCAGGTTTTCCCTGGTGCCAATCCATTAGCTATCGATCTATTAAGACTTATGCTAGAGTTAGACAGTGATATTCGTATAACAGCTGAACAAGCTTTAGCTCACTCTTACTTAGCACAATATGCTGACCCAACTGATGAACCTACATCTGCTCCTTATGATCAAAGCATCGAAGATATGGATCTTCCTGTCGAAAAATGGAGAGGTTTTCAATTTTTCTTAATGATTTAACCAAAATTTTTGATACAGCCAGGGCTACTACTATTAAACAGAATTACTTCATCTGAGAAAGCACCACTATTATTAAATTTCAACTTACTTTTTAATTAACAAAAGTTAATCTTCCAAAATAATAAAGAGAGAAATGTATTAATATGTTTGGAACACAAGCAAAATAAAAATAAGAAATTGCTCTTCACAGCTTGACTGTATCTAAAATTCTCATGAAAATATTCTATTATAGTAGTATTATTATTTAGCAACTACTAATTGAATGCCATTTTTTATTTAGATTTGGTTCTTGAAGAGGTCAAATCTTTTGTACCACCACCACTTGATGAAACAACCTAGAATTTCTTATACAATTTTACAGAGTGCTCGTGTATATAACAATTGTATACAACTTCAACATTTTTATTTTTTAAATGATTTTGTAAAAATGTAGATATATTATTTACAATTTTATCGAATATACAACATAACATGTATATCCATAATGTTTGCAATTTAAAGGGATGTTATTGTAAAACAGACGAGTGATGATAGCTTATGTTTCAATCAGAGGTAGAGAGAACTGAAAGTATTGTAACGGCGCATGACTGTGCATACGGCCTCCTATTGCTTGTTATCGCACGTCTGTTTTGCTATACACTAGTTAGACACATTTCTTTATATACATAATTTATTTTAATTACATTCGTCTTCGTTTAAATGCACAAGATGCAATAAAGTTGAAAAATGTATGTTTTACTAATACAATTTCGTTTTAATACTGGAATGTACTTTAGAATTCAACCAAAAAAGTAAATTTTAATTAGTAAATTGTTACACACACGTGTACTTCTATTATTTATGTACTATGTGGTAAAAAAATTACCTCCAGGCGCAACTTTTTCGTCTATAAAAATTTACTCTATTTTTAATTAACTTAGATTATGACAAAAATATTAAAATGTACATGTGATAAGGTATTTGAGTACGTTGTATCTTTAAAATTCTATTTATTCGACTTTTGTTCAAAAAATATTAACAACCACGAACAAGTAGATATACCTCGCTTGCGTAAATCGGAAGATTAGAAAGTACATATATGAATACTTCAAGCATATATACATCTATTACAGATAACCACAAAATAGCACACTTTATTAAAAAAAAATATTTTAGTTAATACCGACGTAAATTAATCTGATATTTAATATCACAGGCACTAGGTATCAATTTTACAACATATGGTCTTTTGACAGTTCACTTGAATTAGTCGTTTACGACTAAAATAGAATATTCAATACATACTACATATACATATCAAAATTTAACATTGATAGTGTTATTAAAACGTAAATTTAAAAAAAATAGATATATGAAATATAGGTAGTGTGTAATGAATCTTTTTAGAAACATTCTATATCGAAATCCACAATTGTCAAAAAATAAAAGTAAAAATTATATCATACTGTAAATATTATAAAATACTCTACAAAAAAATATATAAAACTGGTTCGACTAGCGCCAAGTTCTCTACTCATTTTAAAAATAAATTGGATATGAGAGAATCTACAAAATATTTGCAGCAATTCTATTTTACAACAAAATAAGACTGTGTCAGATTTGCTTTTTAAATTAAATAATTACATAAATTAAACGGCACGTATGGCGTATTTCACAGCAGTTAAATATTGATAAAAAGCATATAAAATTACCCTACACTAAAAAGTAGTGAAATATTTTAAAGTTCGCACAGGTATGTTGATTTTAATCTCATTTTTAAACCAAAACATTTACCTTTTGCAGTCTATAGACAAAATTTAATAATAGAATAAATAATAGTAGTTTGTAGCCAAGGAATGTGATGCTTTGTAGCGATTGCTTTGAAACGAAAATTTTTTTAAAATATAAAATTTTCATTTAATCGGGTATGTTAAATTTTAAACATGAATTTTTGAAAGATAGCAGCCAAAATTACTTGTTGCAATTGTTTCTAGAACTATGAAAACTATTACACAATGCATTACAGCAAAAAATCGGAATTCATTCAAATTTGGACATTCTTTTTAAAGATTATAACGAACGCTTTTACAATTATATACATGACTAGATTTGAGTAAGAGAGATGGCAATCACGCAATTTTTTAAAAAACAAAATGGTATGCAATAATATTTTAAAAGCTCTGGAAACAACTGCTGTGCAATACCTGTGTGAAAAAGAAAATAATTTTTAGGTCTCAATGTTCATCATATATATGTTTTTTTTTGTATTAGGACGAATAGTGACTATTTACATTTCGTATGACCATCCAAGAGCTTCTTCCATAAATCAAATTGTTCAAATCCTTTAACCATATGAATACTAATTCCACGTTGAACACTACAAGGTGTTAATGAAACCCTTCTATTTGAAAACTCCGAAACATGTACGCGTTTGATTTTCAGATCATTTGCTACAATTCCTGTTAAGAAAACATCTTCCAATTTAAAATACGTGTGATTTAAAGCAGCAGAATATAATTCTCTTGCTAATTTAGCTGGAAAAAGGTATGCAGGTCCCGTAGTAAAATCAGGAAATACAGTATGCTTATACTGTTGTAAAGAACTATAATATTTTGATTTTTTATTTCGAATCGGTTTCCAATTTTTCGCTAAACGTCCGTAAATGATCCTTTGATTAGGGTCATGGTTTACCACAAAAACTAATAACCGATGTACATTTATAAACATATCGTCGTCAGTTTTAAGTACAAAAGCTGCTTTAGGGCAGTAATTATCAACCCATTCTAACATAGATATAGTTTTGAGTGTGAGATTATCATAAGCATCAATAAACTTTCCCGTTATTATATCTCCATAGATATACTGTTCTTTATCAAGTCGCGAATTTAAAACTTTATTGGAAGTTGTTCCAAGCATAAAAGCAATAGATACATCTCTACGAGATGCATAATGACCCCATGTTTGTCTAATTGCCATACGTGCTTGTTCATGACTTGGTGCTGATGTAATTATTATTAACAGTTTGATATTTTTGCCTAAATCTGGACAAACTTCGGCACTGAAATTTGTATGACCCGATTCATATATCATATCTGTTAAAATTCCTTTGGTTAAGTCTAGTACAACTGTGTTGTTGGTAACAGAAAGTGGAGGAGAAAGTACCTCTGATGTGTTATTTCGTTTTGCAACTGTATTAGTGTCGTTTTTTATAAATGATACTTCTGGTTGAGTCAAATTAAGCTGTATGTTTGCGTCCGCTACTGCAGCAACTACTGAGTAGACAACTGGAGACACTGTTGCTTGGAGCTGACTTGTTGAAATGTAGCAAACGTAAAGAAACAGTGAAAGCGCAGCCAAGACAATTATTACCAAGTGCATTCGCCGCACTTGGGCCAGCCATGGCACCTTCATGCCTGTAAATATAAAACAATATCTCAAAATGGCAGTAATAAGCACTGTGTAGATGAAGTTAGGTATATGTATATTAAACAACAATACTGTTACAAATATTCTAAAAAGTGTAAATATCTACATTTTAACATGGGTACATATAAAAAATAATGCAAAGCATTTCAGCGTTAATTAATTTCAGAGTGTAGTGCATGTTATTTATGGTTATTTTAAATAGATAGTTTTGTTGGCTTTTTAATACCTGGCATTGACAAGGTCACAAAAGCTCATTCCAATGATGTCATAAAAAGACTAAAGAATTGTTATATCGTGTATACTTATTGCTTTTATAGTTACTTTGTGCTTGCTAAGAATTAATATGCATCATGTATTAACTTTAGTCATGTTAAAAAATTTGAATTTAAAATGGAAAACAACTATACTTTTCTAAAATAACTTAATTACAAGTTTAATTACTTCAATCATTTTAACATGATGTTAATAAAATTGCTTTCAATAGTTCTAAACTAACAAAATAGCATTTTTTTATTAAAATAACTTTTTAAAATGTTTAATTGTTTTTACTATTAATATATATATATATGGATTAACAACATTTAAATGCCGTATAGTCTATGTAGGAATAACTAACTTGTTTAATAGGGCAATGAAAAATATTCTTACCAGTTTGTGTCTCATATGCTCCTGTCTATTTTAATCAAATTATTACTAGCAACGCGATATTAAGAATAACACAAACATTTTAATAATAAGTCCGTAAGATTTGTGTCGTTTATTTAAAGCCATCGTTCTTATAGATACCAACAGCAGTGAATATTTTTCGACACACTTTACATTTGTACAATTGCACAGTTTTATGATTAAACATTCATCATTTGACACTGAACGAAAAATTTAAAGGTTATTGAAACCCTCTTATTTTCGTTTACACCACGTATAGCCTTCAAGCAAAACGTAAAAATATATTTTTAGAAGCAAGTAAACAAGAAGTTGAATAATGATGAAATATGTACATATGTACAATCAATTTAGATCGCATAAAATAACCTTGAGAGAAACGGTCGTCTTTTTGTCGGTCTACTGTTACTTCTTTGTATTGAGATAGGTACTCACTACATGCACTCAATAGGAGAAAGGCCATAATCAATGGATAAAACTAGAAAATACTTATTTAACTTTTTAATTACCTTTTAAACTTCCTTTCAGTACATGACAGCACCATGTTTGTTAAAAAAACTACAAGAAAAACGTACTTTCATTGCAATGAGTCTGCCATACCATTATGCTGCATCCATTATTATCTATGTTCTATAACCACGACACGTTCTATAGCCATACTGAAACCTACTAAAACCATACTGAACGACACAACTCACTTCGCAGGACAATATGAGGTAAAATGGTAAAAGCGCTTGGAGAGCGACTCGTTATCCACATCGATCCTGATTCCCGATTTTTGTTCATTTTTGGACAAAAAAATTTGTCAATTTAGTGTCTACCTACTCGTTCTTACTCTAAAGGTCACTACTTTAGTCTGCTTATGGGAAAGATGTATCAAAGTATTATTATCTATGCATTATCTTATCATAATCTTTTCTTATTATTATTGTACATGTAAAGGAAAATTACACATTTCTTTGGCGGCGTTACGTGCAAAAATAAATGATTTGGTGAACGTAAGGAATTTTTGAATATTTTTACAACTTCAATTATAGAAACGTTCTCAGATTGACTTCGGTAAAATTAATCAGGCAAGAAGCTTAATATTGGTCAGTAGACTGAATTTGAATGGTAAACTTAATTTTAATTCGAAAATTAGTTAACAATTATGTATCACAGAAGTTTCCATTGCATTTTTTTTACTGTATAACTTATTCAAACAGAAAAAGTTATTAGGATTAAATTAAAAAATTACTTTCAATTTTTATGATATCAATTTTCATGGTAATTAATTTAATTTTTACTTTATTTATTATATGTTTTGACAATTAGAGTGACTTTAGAGTGTTGGTGCTTGTTAGCAATCTTTACCCTATAAACTATCTATGCTACTTTTCATTACCTGGTGTTACCTCATAAAGACTACTTGTAGCCAACAAAATTATTTGGTAAATTTAGTGACTTTTCCTTTTAGAATGATGTATACACTGTTAAGCCATACATGAACGGCTAAACTACAAGTCATCGTTTTACTAGGAATACGTTTGTAATTATACGATAAAACTGCACAAAACGTAATAAAAGATGGCGGATGACTCAGGTGGAATTGAAAATACACCTAAAGAAACCGAAAATTGTTCGGAAGCAAAAGATGAAGATCCTCCAAAGAAGAAAATAACAGTTACTATTAAAACACCAAAAGAAAGGGAGACAGTAGAAGTTGAAGAAGATGCTTCGGTGAAGGACGTAAGTATTCATGTTTTAGGTGCCGCAAAATGTAAGTTTTTTCGTTAGTTTAAGGAAATAGTAGCCAAAAAGTTTAATGCCGGGGTGGATCAGCTGTGTTTAATTTTTGCCGGAAAGATTATGAAAGATCAAGATACTTTACAAACTCATAACATCAAAGATGGTTTAACAGTACATCTTGTGATCAAAACTGCACCTAGGACCGTAGAGTCAGGACCTTCACGCCCACCGGGTATGTATTCAATCTTCAGTCATAAGTACTGAATAATTTGGTGTGTGTATTATACTATTTTATTGATTTGGATAAGAAATAAATGTTCAATATACTTTTTAATTTTTAGCCGACATAAGTGCTACTCCTTTTAATTTGGGTACTTTAGGAGGTTTGTCTGGATTAGAGTCATTGGGTTTGGGCTCTGCAAATTTCATGGAATTGCAAAATCGTTTGCAATCTGAACTTTTAGGAAATCCAGAATTGATGAGACAGGTTTTGGATAATCCATTGGTACAAAGACTTATGAGTGACCCTGAAAACATGCGTACATTGGTCACTAGTAACCCACAAATGAGAGAATTAATTGATAGAAATCCAGAAATAAACCACATGTTAAACAATCCAGAGCTTTTAAGACAAACCATGGAACTAGCTAGAAATCCTTCTATGTTACAAGAATTAATGAGAAATCATGATCGTGCTATTAGTAACTTAGAAAGCATTCCAGGAGGGTACAGTACTCTGCAACGCATGTATCGTGATATTCAGGTAATCACATCTCATAATAATTATTTTTCTCAATTTATTGTATTAGCATTGCAACACAAAACTCCATATAAAACATTTGAAAAGCTAATATGTGTTTTGACACTCAATTAGTTATCCTCGGAGATTGTCTGAGGATCTTAATTCAGTTTCACAGAACTCCATTTGATTGTTGTGAATGTATTCCTTTCACATGATAATGTGAAATTTCCAAAAATGAATATTAATTTATGTTTCCAGGAACCAATGTTAAATGCTGCTACTGAGCAATTTTCACGTAATCCATTCTCAGGATTAGTTGACAATTCTGATTCTGGATCAGGTACTAATCCTCAACAAGGTACAGAAAACAGAGATCCACTTCCTAATCCATGGTCAAGTAATGCTAGATCAGGAACCAATGAATCAAGCACTCAGCAAAATGTTCTTAATAATCCATCCCTAGTCAGTTTAATGCAGCAAATGGCCGAAAACCCCCAGTTAATGCAAAATATGATGTCAGCACCTTATATCCAAAGCATGATGCAGGCTTTGGTAGCAGATCCAAATTTAGCAACGAGCATCATGTCACAAAATCCCATTTTCCAAACAAATCCTGCATTGCGAGAACGCATGCGCACGATGATGCCTAATTTGTTGCAACAATTGCAGAATCCAGAAATACATAATTTGATTGCTAATCCCCAGGTCAATAGTTATGTTAACATTTTAATTATTGCATTTTCTAACATTTATTATTTTAGGCCTTAAATGCACTTATGCAAATTCAACAGGGAATGGAAACATTACGTCAGGCAGCACCCAATTTTATGGATACTGTTGGTGTGTCTACCCCACCATCTCTTACTACTGCACCTACTATTACTACTACAACTACCACCAATTCTTCAACAACTACTGTTCCTGCATCAACTACTGCTACTTCAACAACTACAACTACTCCATCTACTACAGATCCCTTTTCAGAAGTAAGTTTTTGTTGCATTGCAATGTATAAATATAAATATAGAGAGAAGATTTTTGACAGCATTGAAGGTTTTACCCTTAAGAGTAAGGCAATGAAATATGTAGGTTTTATGAATCATTTGACTAGATTTTCCTGAAATTTACTCTATAATTGTTTTCCTAAAATGTTTAAATTAGTCTAACCTAAGTTAATTTGAATTTAACAACTGTAACCATGAATAGTGCGGTTTTCTGACAATGAAAAAAATTTTATAATCGGTTCATTAGTGCATACAAACAAATTTGTGTAAGACAGATGTAGATCTAGCTTAGAAGTCTTATTATTCTATAAGCACTGACAAACTTGAATAAGTGAATGTAGACTTTCACGGCGTCTTAATTACTACAAAAATTTTCCGGGATTATTAGCTGTGGTCTTTTGGATCGTACTCTTGACGTTTTGCTCGCAACTGCGAAAAGCATTTTCACAGGTTTCATCGCTGCTGATCTACGTTGAATTGTTCGTTGGGGCTCTTCGTTGATAAATGATGATGTCTGTGCTGTCTTGGTGTTTGAGGGTACTTTCCCCATCGTCGAATGGATATAAATGTTAACACAGCTCATACGCCGTCAATCGTCATCTACCATGATCAATGAAAGGCGTCAAAAAACACTTCTACCTAAATCAGCAGCCATCTACATTTTTGTTTTTATATGTATCATAAAGGGTCCTGTGATCCGTAAATTATTAAATAAATAAATATTTGATCCTTCAGTTTATGGCACGAATGGTAGCTGGAATGGCCAATCAACAAGATGCATCGTTACCACCGGAACAGCGGTATCAAACTCAGTTAGAGCAATTATCAGCTATGGGATTTGTTAATAGAGATGCCAATCTACAGGCGCTTATAGCTACATTCGGAGATATAAATGCAGCAGTAGAGAGGCTGTTAGCTTTGGGTCAAATGTCCATGAGCTAACCAAATTAGAAAGGTATATTAATTCGGTTTTATATTACTTCAAGTTTTAGGTACTAAACAGTTGAGGATGTTCGGTGATTATACTTTACTCAGTTTTGTATATGGTCTCCTTTTAAAATAATTATTTTTCAAACTTTCCAGAAAGAGTGTCTTATTAATCGTGAAGGGACGATTTATATATTTTATGAACATTGTCAAACTCATTAATTTTTAAATATTTTGTTGATTAATTTTGAATCTTTGTTTAAAATGGCCAACATGATATACATATATATTAATTTAGTTAAATTTAAATGGTTCATATATTGTTGTTACTTATGCCTTATGTAATTGTCTGAAATGTAATTGTAAAATTACTTTTTAATAAAAGTTTAGATCAATCTAATCGTTTATGCTTCAAAAGGTGTATAATTTTTTATGCAAAACTTTGTTTTAATTTCTATCATATTCTTATAAGTATTATTTAAATTGAGCGTTATTGAATGTAACATAATTATTTCATTGTAGTTTTGTAAAAGCGACCTTCGTCTTAAGTGTTAATTTATCATCGTGAGATTATGCAGTTCATAGTTCATAGTCATCGAGTGACAAAGGGAGGCAGACTACACGATTCAATTTAGATCAGTGGTATCCATTTTTGGAAAATGGACTAAATTAAAAAAAATTAAGTACAAATGTGTCTTTTGACAATTATTTCTAAAACATTTTTTAATATTTGTGTATTATAATAAGTTTTGTGATATTTTTGATTGATAGATACTTTTCCTTTAGGAATATAGTTAGTGTAAGAAGTAATAATTTGTTAAGAGTTTTCATTCTGTATAACTAAGCGAGTATCTGAGCAATTTTCACGTAATCCATTCTCAGGATTAGTTGACAATTCTGATTCTGGATCAGGTACTAATCCTCAACAAGGTACAGAAAACAGAGATCCACTTCCTAATCCATGGTCAAGTAATGCTAGATCAGGAACCAATGAATCAAGCACTCAGCAAAATGTTCTTAATAATCCATCCCTAGTCAGTTTAATGCAGCAAATGGCCGAAAACCCCCAGTTAATGCAAAATATGATGTCAGCACCTTATATCCAAAGCATGATGCAGGCTTTGGTAGCAGATCCAAATTTAGCAACGAGCATCATGTCACAAAATCCCATTTTCCAAACAAATCCTGCATTGCGAGAACGCATGCGCACGATGATGCCTAATTTGTTGCAACAATTGCAGAATCCAGAAATACATAATTTGATTGCTAATCCCCAGGTCAATAGTTATGTTAACATTTTAATTATTGCATTTTCTAACATTTATTATTTTAGGCCTTAAATGCACTTATGCAAATTCAACAGGGAATGGAAACATTACGTCAGGCAGCACCCAATTTTATGGATACTGTTGGTGTGTCTACCCCACCATCTCTTACTACTGCACCTACTATTACTACTACAACTACCACCAATTCTTCAACAACTACTGTTCCTGCATCAACTACTGCTACTTCAACAACTACAACTACTCCATCTACTACAGATCCCTTTTCAGAAGTAAGTTTTTGTTGCATTGCAATGTATAAATATAAATATAGAGAGAAGATTTTTGACAGCATTGAAGGTTTTACCCTTAAGAGTAAGGCAATGAAATATGTAGGTTTTATGAATCATTTGACTAGATTTTCCTGAAATTTACTCTATAATTGTTTTCCTAAAATGTTTAAATTAGTCTAACCTAAGTTAATTTGAATTTAACAACTGTAACCATGAATAGTGCGGTTTTCTGACAATGAAAAAAATTTTATAATCGGTTCATTAGTGCATACAAACAAATTTGTGTAAGACAGATGTAGATCTAGCTTAGAAGTCTTATTATTCTATAAGCACTGACAAACTTGAATAAGTGAATGTAGACTTTCACGGCGTCTTAATTACTACAAAAATTTTCCGGGATTATTAGCTGTGGTCTTTTGGATCGTACTCTTGACGTTTTGCTCGCAACTGCGAAAAGCATTTTCACAGGTTTCATCGCTGCTGATCTACGTTGAATTGTTCGTTGGGGCTCTTCGTTGATAAATGATGATGTCTGTGCTGTCTTGGTGTTTGAGGGTACTTTCCCCATCGTCGAATGGATATAAATGTTAACACAGCTCATACGCCGTCAATCGTCATCTACCATGATCAATGAAAGGCGTCAAAAAACACTTCTACCTAAATCAGCAGCCATCTACATTTTTGTTTTTATATGTATCATAAAGGGTCCTGTGATCCGTAAATTATTAAATAAATAAATATTTGATCCTTCAGTTTATGGCACGAATGGTAGCTGGAATGGCCAATCAACAAGATGCATCGTTACCACCGGAACAGCGGTATCAAACTCAGTTAGAGCAATTATCAGCTATGGGATTTGTTAATAGAGATGCCAATCTACAGGCGCTTATAGCTACATTCGGAGATATAAATGCAGCAGTAGAGAGGCTGTTAGCTTTGGGTCAAATGTCCATGAGCTAACCAAATTAGAAAGGTATATTAATTCGGTTTTATATTACTTCAAGTTTTAGGTACTAAACAGTTGAGGATGTTCGGTGATTATACTTTACTCAGTTTTGTATATGGTCTCCTTTTAAAATAATTATTTTTCAAACTTTCCAGAAAGAGTGTCTTATTAATCGTGAAGGGACGATTTATATATTTTATGAACATTGTCAAACTCATTAATTTTTAAATATTTTGTTGATTAATTTTGAATCTTTGTTTAAAATGGCCAACATGATATACATATATATTAATTTAGTTAAATTTAAATGGTTCATATATTGTTGTTACTTATGCCTTATGTAATTGTCTGAAATGTAATTGTAAAATTACTTTTTAATAAAAGTTTAGATCAATCTAATCGTTTATGCTTCAAAAGGTGTATAATTTTTTATGCAAAACTTTGTTTTAATTTCTATCATATTCTTATAAGTATTATTTAAATTGAGCGTTATTGAATGTAACATAATTATTTCATTGTAGTTTTGTAAAAGCGACCTTCGTCTTAAGTGTTAATTTATCATCGTGAGATTATGCAGTTCATAGTTCATAGTCATCGAGTGACAAAGGGAGGCAGACTACACGATTCAATTTAGATCAGTGGTATCCATTTTTGGAAAATGGACTAAATTAAAAAAAATTAAGTACAAATGTGTCTTTTGACAATTATTTCTAAAACATTTTTTAATATTTGTGTATTATAATAAGTTTTGTGATATTTTTGATTGATAGATACTTTTCCTTTAGGAATATAGTTAGTGTAAGAAGTAATAATTTGTTAAGAGTTTTCATTCTGTATAACTAAGCGAGTATTAAGTATTAAGAATTAAATTATTATTATATTTTGTAAAAAGTAACAAAATGAGAGATCATTTTACCAAAGGAAATTATGGACTCAACAACGGTTTCTCAAAAACATTCTTTTTTGATACCTAGTGTTTCAGAAAATTTGATAATTAGAAAATCGATAATTATAATTATGTAATTGCAAATAAGAGCTAATTTGTTTACGACTATGCATACATATCCAAAACAGTAGAAAAGAAGTGATTTAAAAATAGTACGTAGCTTCTTTCGCCGTGAGCCTTATTAGTTACCTGTAGCAACCACAACCAGAAAGCGTGAGAATTTATCATAGAAATATATGATATATGCAACCGACGCTACAGATCTAACAGCTACCTGTGATTTGCGCCATGTTTACATGTTTTATTGGTGAAACTATCTTGTATTTTTCTAAAAGATGTACTGCGTTATATGATTTTTATTAATCAAAACGGGATGTAGCGGTATTTTCTTATTTTCTTGTGATTAACTAAAGAAGAGCAATTTTTTTCGTAATAAGCAAAACAAGGAAACCGTACGACAATGCCAGAAGACAATATAAGACTGAATTCTTCTAGTTCCCGAGAGCTTTAAGTCTTTAATATTGTATTAAGGATTCAATAGTGTAAATATGCTATGCAAAAAATAGAAACGAAAATTGTTACAGTCATCAACAGTAAAATTACTTATCAGTAGGTTATTGGTAAATATTCATGAAATTATGAATTTAAGCTGGATCTCCCAAATTATTGTTCGTCATCCGTATGTTTTATTACTAGCTATTACAGTATTTTCTGGTACATGTTTGGTAATACCTTTCACTCTGCGACCAATTCCACATTTTTCAGAACCTCAAATGGTAATATTTAATTAATTGGATTTCTGAAATAGTTTTAATGTTATTGCTGTAGGGATTTGAAACACGAGGAACTGTTTTGGCTAATCGTAAAATAGCTTGGAAGAATTTGGAGCAAGCCACAAGACCTTCTGGACCATTTGCTGTTAATCCAAATGAATTTTTTAATATAAGGAAAGAGAAGTTTGTCAAAAATAAAAAGAAAAAAGTTACCATTATGCGAAGAGGGGTAAGAATTAGTTTAAAAACTTCATTGGAAACAGCTTTGTAGATACATTGTATGTTGTTATGCATTGGGATTGAATTTGGGTTTTGATTATAGATTATTATAAGAAATATATCAGAAGATAATTTAGAAACTACTACAAGCAATTGGGAAGCATTACGTAAAATTGCCATTAGAGAGAGAACTACTGAAAAAAGTACAGTTGTTCATGAACATAGTGAAGATTTTTTTTGTGGCGCTCCTGGTTTGTTACGATTTTTTTTTTCAAATTTATATATTTCTATAACTAAAAAATTAGAAGAATTAAAGTGATCTTTCTCTATTGTAGATGAAGGATATGTTCATTTTGTGGTAGAATCAAAGGATGGGTCTGACTTATTTTCTTACAATTCATTGAGAACTCTCTGTCGATTAGAGCATGAATTTATAGAAGTTCCAGAATATAAAAGTTATTGTCAACCATCTTCTCTGAAAAAGCACAGTAAATGTTGTCGTCCTTGGTCTTTGGGCAATTACATTGCACAATTACATAATCGTACCACATGTCTTGGAATAACGGTATTGAAGTTTTCATTAAAAATATCCTTTATTATCATAAAATAATTTTTAAGGAGGAGGATGTCATTAAAAGTAAACTGCTAGTAAAACGCTGCTCTCATTATTTTCACACATTAAACTTGGCTCCAGACTGTAGCCAAAAAAGCTGTTTTGTACCTGCAGAGTGTGTTCAATATGATGCTGTTTATAATATATTAAATTACCTTGTCAGTATATCCTTTCATAAATCTGTAAGTAGTATTCTTTAGTATTATCATTAAAACAAGTTTAGGAAATGCAATAATCACAATTAATAGTGTAATTTTTCTATATAAAGTATCTGTAATTTTAAGATTAGTATTAATTACATTAATACTTATATCTACTTTTTAGGATAGACCTCATAACAATTTAACTCAAACAGTCATATTTTTACCTGTGGCTGCTGTAACCCAAAATATTAATTACTTTCATGCAATAAGAAATATGCAACTGACTTTTGGAACAATATCAATAGTGGCTATGGATTTTGGAATAAAAGCTGCTTTGTTTGATGAATACTTGGTGCGTGATATAAAGTTCATAACCTGCGGAACATTCTTCATTTTATTGTGTATCTGGTTTTATACACAATCATTTCTAATCACTATTATGACTATTCTTGCGATAATATTTTCACTAGGAATTTCTTATTTTTTATACACCATTGTGTTCAGAATAGCATTCTTCCCCTTTATGAACCTGTTGGCTGTTGTAGTTGCATTGGGTAAGTAGGGTTTTTGCTATTTTATTTAACACAAATTTTGCTATATTATTTAACTTAATGTTTCTGTAAAATATAAACATGTTTCACACTATATTTTTTTGTTCCAATTTATGTTTCTAAAGAATTCATGTAAAGAAAATCATGTAATGATGTAATTAACTTGTGCATGCGGATAAACACCTATGAAAATCTTAAAAGAATTAATTTTCTATGCAGCAATATATTATGTTTGTTATGTTAATATTGTTTCAATTGGTACGGTCATTCCTCAGAGGGTGGAGGAAATAAGTATAATTCACGAAACTATTATATTTTGTTTTGTCATTTTATATTAAAAAACGTATTACTGCACATGAATCTTATCGCTTTAAAAATTATGAAGTGAAATGTTTACTTTGAAAAAAAACTTTAGTATAAAAATTATTGTTTTCCGAAATTTGTAAAATTGTATTACTGCGTTGTTATATGTTAATTTAGATTACAACATTTTAACATTGTAGGTATTGGAGCTGATAATGTGTTTCTATTTTGTAAAGTATGGCAGTCAAAAAATCAAGGTAAAAATTTGTCATATGTGGAATGTATGAATGCAACATTTCATCATGCTTTTTTATCAATGTTTATTACTTCTGTAACGACAATGGCTGCCTTTTTAGCATCTTATCTGAGCTCAATTATAGCTATTCGATGTTTTAGGTAACACTAACATCAACATACGTATTAATTTTTTAATACCTAATGCCCATTTTAGTTTGTTTGCAGCAATGTCGGTTATGGCTAACTGGATCTTAATGATGACATGGACTCCAGCGGCTGTCGTCATAAGTGAAAGAAGCTTCTCATACGTCCAATTATTCACAAAAAGATTGCAGTTGCCAGCAGTAGTAAAGCAGTGTAAAATATTGACAATACTATGGTCTTCAGTTAAATGTAATTGGTTACGGGAATTTTTAAACGATTGTGATCAAAAATTAGCCAGTATTGTTATACATTTTCGTTACATTTGGCTTATACTTTTCTCAGTAATTGCTGTGGCAAGTAGTGTAATTGTATTTTACTATCCCAAATTGCAACTTCCCAGTACACCTGATTTTCAGTTGTTCGAAAGTTCTAATTTATTTGAAACTTATGATATGCATTATAAGTATTTATTCTGGTTCAGGAAAACAGAAAAGGTAAGTTTATCAATGTATCGCAAAATAAAGTAATGATAACAAATAATAAAAGTAAATAGAATAACTTGCTAAAATACAATTAAATATTTGAATTATAAATTGAAGGTACCGGGAGAAAATTTTGGCGATTATAAGTTGCCACTCAGATTCGTATGGGGAGTTTTACCGGTAAACAATGCCAATTACTTAGATCCTACCTCCTTAGGAAAAATGGAACTGGACGAAAGTTTTGACGTTTCAAAACCTGAGTCACAGCAATGGCTATTACAGTTCTGTCGGGATTTGAGAAATCAACCTTTTTATGAACCCACGCCTGGCCCATTACTGCCTAATTGTTTTATTGAAACATTTATGTCATGGATGCAACAACGTTGCAATGATTCATTTGAAAAGAAAAGTCGCTTTCCTTGTTGTGAAATACAGAAGTTCCCTTATAATAGCAGTATTTTTGATATATGTATAACTAAAGCGATGTCTGACTTGTATGCAACTCCTACGGAATATTTCATACCTGGAATGGCAGGGCCTAAGTTCTCAAAAGACCAATTTCCGACAATAAAAGCTGTTGTAGTTGAATATGATAGTAATTATACATATTCGATGTCATATGAACATATGCACAATTTTTTTACTCTTGTGGAAACGTGGATGATTAAGAAACTTCAAACTGCCCCGAAAGAGATGAAAGGTTAGTTAAATTTCTTGAAGATTTAACTAATAGTAAAGAAAATTTCTTGTAGGTGGTTTCTTTATCAGCGATCTAGACTTTTATGATGTGCAAAAGGTACTTTCAGAGGGTACGATGGCAGCTATCTGTGTATCAATGGGAACTGCATTAGGAGTACTACTCCTTGCGTCCTTAAATATTTTTACTAGTTTATATGCAATTGTTACTATTACTAGTAGTATTGTTGTAACGTTGGCGGTATTGGTTGCATTAGGATGGAAGTTAAATATTTTAGAATCAATAACGATATCTGTAGCCATAGGTTTAGCAGTAGATTACAGTTTACATTATACTGTTGCATATAAGATATGTACCGAAAAAAGAAATCGTAAACTTGCTACAAAATTTGCAGTACTTAATATGGCTGGTCCATCTTTAATGGCAGCTCTCACAACAGGAGCTGCAGGAGCTTTCATGATGCCATCATCAATTTTACCGTATATTCAAATTGGAGTTTTTTTGATAACCAGTATGACCGTAAGCTGGTTTTTTGCCACATTTTTCTTGTGTTCCCTATTGGCTGTTGTAGGACCCACTAATAATTTAGGTCAATTTTCTTATTCATCATTAAACTTTTTAGCTCGGCCTAAAGATAAAAGTAAGAAGATTCGGCAGGCATCTTCTGCTTCGGAGACACATGAGTTAGATTACCTTACGAATAAGGGTTCGCGGCCTGTAAGTAAAACGCTACAAAAATCAATGTATACTGCAAGAAACAGTGTAAGCCGTTCTTACACTGATCAGTCTCCCTCTGCAACCAGTGCAATTACTATCGTCATGGCCGAAGATAATTAAGAGAAAAAAAAAATACATTGTAGAATTAAATGTCCTGTGATATTTATACCTTCTGTTCTGAATACTGCGTGTTAGTTTTTAAGGCGGATGTGTTAAAATGTAGAAATGCATGTGAATTATAGTTTTTTAAAACTACTTATTCTCTAAATGTCCTGGATGTTTCCCAAAGTTGTTTTTAAATATCCTTTTCATTTATTTTGTTGCGAATTTGAATACCTCTTAATGATATTAATTTATTTGAAAGTATGCTGATATTATATCATATTTGGTAGAGCTCTTTTTAGTTGATTTTATTTATACATTAGTTCGCAATTTATACTTAATTGTATGAAGGAAATAAATAAAAGAAAGGGAAAAAAGCTTGTAGAATTGTTATAGCATTAATTAAAACAATTTCTCTTTTCAGTTTGTTCATTTGATATTAAGAAGAAATTAGTAGTGTCCAATTTTTGCAAAAAGTGGTTTATTATAATATTGTATAAGTTTGTGACTGACGGCCAAGACGACCATTTAAATAATATTTTTTATCAAATGTTTTGTTTGCAATAGGTACTAATTTTAACAATTATTTTAAAAACTGTTAGTATTTATTTAATTAATAAGTATCTTTTAAATTTCAATTTAAAGAATGGATTACTCTTTCTAGGTATTTTTACACAAGTAAAAAGCTAGCAAGAACATAAACAAACGTCACGGTACTTTTTCTTTGCTCTCTGTTGATTTTTGTTCGGCACCTGTTGTTTGTAAAACAGTTGCAGTAGGAGTTAAACCATTGACTGCGTTTAAATCTGAAGCAGCTAATGCGCAACCTTCTTGATCAGTTTTAATGAAAAATGTCCTATTTATTCTATACTTGTCAAGTATTCCGTATGCTTTTTGTAATACTTGACCAGAAGGTAGTCTTTCTCTAGTCATCACCCAAGCGCTTTCTACAACAAAACGTGATTAATTTAATTAAGGCTTTCGCGGCCGTAGTTTAAGAGTGAAGTGTTTCTGTTTGGATTTTGAGGTCATCATGTTCAAGGATTATGGTCATATTAATGAATAATAAGGAAATAAGGAACATCCTTAAAACCCGAACAAAAACATATAATTGCTAGAGGGTAGTTACTTTATTAATTAATTGGCTCAAGCTTATTCTTACCTGTGTGTACTGGACCAATTCCACTGCAACTCCACACAACAGCAAAATTATCATAGTCTGTTTCCAAAACTTTAAGTTTAGTTTCTGTTGAAATTGGCGTAGTTGCATATTTGATAGTAATTTGACCTTCTCCGTCTTTTCCAACAACACCAACTTCTCCAGCAATAACTCTTTTTATACCGGTTCTGCAAATATATAAAAAATAGTATGTTTTGTATAGGTAAGTGTTTTTTAATCTGTTTTTTTTTTTTTAGTTTTATCTGTATTACATATATTTGTCTACTAGCCATGATCTTTTTCGTAAATCTATATTGCGGTAAAAAAGATAGTAATTTTAGAATGCTACGTAAATTAATAAATACAATTACAATTAAAAGGGACATTTTGTGACAAACCAAATGTTAAAAAATTAAGAACATAAAATTTTTATTTCGAAACTGTCGAAGTTCCTTACTTTGCGTCATGCTGATGGGCACCAACAAATACTGAATTACGATGCAGTAGTTAATTCAAAAAACAATTAAAAGTTTAATATTCTTAACTTCATAATTAATGAAAAATCGATACTTACAATCGACTTGTAATTTCATTGGATACAAAAATTTTTCCACTTGGAGCTCGCGCGTAGTCAGTAACGACACATCGAGAAGCAACTTCAGAAAAAGTAAAATATCGCTCTTGTTCGTACCATTTTCCCAAAAATCTTTCTATATCAAAATCGTTCATTGGTACATATTCTGGGCACCATCCTAAACTAGGAACTTGAGCTACTGTTAAAGAAATAAACATAAGAGTACAAAAACTTGCGTAGTAGAGCCTCATTTTGCACAAGTATACTAAAATATTTGAAAAGCCTGCTGTTTATATACGCACTCTTAAAGGAATGTTGTTGGATGTGTATTCACTTAACATCGTCAGTTAATATGCCTCTTTACATATAAAATGTACAGTTTTATCAAGTTAACTATTAAAGAACCACCATCATTCCTTTAATAAAATACCGACAAGCCCAACATAAAAGATAAATCTTGATAATTTACCACATTTACCTATACAGGTAGAAAAGGCAATGCACTACCGTGACCTCTGTTGAATTAATTATATTTCTCACAAAATTAAAACAATCTATTTAGTAATATTTAATAACAATATGCACTTCTTAATAGCTGATTTAAGGAGGTAGATAATGGGGTAAGATGATAATTATTTTCAATCAGCTAATAAAAGGTAAAGAAATAATTTTGAAATTGAACTAAATCTATTATCAAAATTGTGAACTGGTAAATTGCTACTTTTTATATTTTTTTTGAATTACGAACTATTAGAAAGTAAAAAATAAACAAACAGTTAATTCAAATATGTATGAAGATTTAAAGGAAATTAAATGCGATTAGGTAGAAAATAGTTTAAAGTTTATAACTTGCTTTTAAAAAAACAAGTAAAAATAAATAAGCACACGTCCATTAAAAACATCAGAATGATAAAGAAGTTGCGTATCATATAGTATTCTTGTACAAGAATAAATATCGCTGTTATTTTACCGCAAATTGTCCATTACTTTATTATTGCAATCCGAATATATTCCATGGTGTACTTATGTTTAAAGTAATTTCCANATTTTAATTATTTTTATTTTATTTATTTAAATTTATATTTACACATTAGTGAAATTAATTCATATCTATTAGATAATGTTAGGATGTAACAGATAATCTGAAGATATATTGATGATCTTTACTTGTACTGTATTTTTCAGCCCTTTAGAAAATTCCTTACATTCGGGTTGTTTTGGCCCAAATTATCTGTTATTTGTAAACAATTTAATATTGTTTTACTATTTCTAAACATTGGTAAAAAGTCTATAGTAGTTTTGATCAGCATTTTAAACTGAATTTTTTAGAGTACGTTTTTATACAAGGCCAAATTAATGATAGGGGGTATGTTGTTAAATAAGGGGTGTAAGGGACGACAGTTGAAACGTTAAACGTAAGAGCTGGTCCAAATGACAACCTCTCCTGCACGTGGAACACCCTGCTAGAGAACAAACGAGGCTCTGTCGACCGAGCGACTGCCGGTATAAGCAGTTCCCTATTGTTAGCCAGCATGAGCTGGTAAGAGAAAGCGCACCTTTTGAACATCTTGTCCTCGGAAAAATCCTAATAAAACCAGAATAAACTATAACATAATTCAAAGATATGGAGATCCAGAATACAACGGGAAACCGCTCTATTAAAAACAAGATACTGTTTAAAGATCAAATTAAAATCACATTACACTGCATTCGTGTCACTTTTTATGCGGGAGTTGGACAAGTTTCAAAGATTAAAAAATGCTGTTTAGATTTTTAAGTAATGTACCTAATTACCTATGTACATAACAATAATAGAAAAACGCAAGTTTTAGTTATAAATTATTTATTGACTCTACAATAATTCTTTTTCCATCTAAAGAAGCCACAGAGAAATGGTAATCAATAACATCTACTACAACCTCAAACATCACCAATTATTTGTTACCTAACATTTATTTCGTTATAAAAATCGACAAGTGTAACTGTTTGCTGGTAGATTATGCTCTTTTCCTCTGATCAGAGTAATGTTAGATATTAATTCATCGAGCATTCTTATATACAACTGAATAATTGCATGTTACAGCAACAATTAAACATATTGCGTTAATTGTGAATAAAACTCAGAAAGACAAACTTTCAACTGTAGAAAAGTGGGCCTGTCTTCGGGATTCATTGCCCAACAGTAGGCTATAACAGCAAACCTAAACAATTACGTTAATTAATATCAATGTAAAAATAAAAATTGAAAAAGGTTTATTACAATTCATCTGGACAGTTTATTGGTTGAGTTAATCTATACCCATCCTTTAGATAAGCAGCCATTTCAAAAGGATCTATTTCAACATATGGCTGTTGAGCTAAAGATGTTAATTCCCAAAGTAATACACCAAATGACCATACATCAGATTGAGGGGAAAAAGTTTTGCTTATTAAACTTTCAATAGCAAGCCATTTTATTGGCCTATTTTCATTGTCACCCAAGCAATGATAGTCTGCGGGAAAAAGGTCACGGGATAGAGCATTATCTGTTATTTGAATTTTTAATTTTTCATCAACCCTAAAATAGAATGGTAATAGTTTAGTAACATTTATTTTCTACTAAATCAAACTATTTAACATATTTATTCTTTACATTAAATAAACATGATTTTTACGAAATTTTAAAATCAGGAAAAGAAAAGAGGTGTTTCTTTAATACATAAATAAAAACGATACTTACACACAATTTCTAGCAGCTAAGTCCTTATGTAATAAATGACGTTTATGAAGATACAGCATGGCCCCAGTTATTTGTAGTGCCATGTCAACAATTTCTTGAGTAGTAAGAGTGTGAGCTACACCCTCTGAACATAATTTACATTTCTGGAGGAAAATTTTCAAATTTTTAAAATCTCTAAAAGGATAAAGTAAAAACGGAGCAGTATTTTCCTCAAAAGAAACACCCAATATGCTTAAAATATTTTTGTGATTGATTGAATACATTGACATTCCTTCTTGAAGTAAAAGTGAGATTTGTATTTGAGAAGCGTGGTCAGTGACTGTTTTTATCAAAACACTCTCTACTGAACCATTGTCTTTTGTATATGTTCCTTGATAAACTCTGCCAAAAGTGCCTTCTAATAATACACTTTTTAAGCAAACTCGACATCTACAACAATTTATACATTACAATATACAGTTTAAGAATATTGTTATACCTTTGGATTGTAAGATCGGAAATTCTCTCTTGAATATCTTTTGGCCTATCTTCTAAAAGAGAATAACTTGGTGCTCTACGAAAACTTCCATAAGACGAAATAGCTGTAGGATTTCTTGAAGAATGAAGAAATGTTGATTGTGATTGATCTATATTATTGTCAGATACTTTTTTAAACTTTTTACGGCGAATATAGAAAGATGTAAGAAAAACAAGAAAAAAGAAAAGAAAGCCAACGGCACAACTAATTGCAAAATAAAACATTTTTGCTGGGCCTGGGTTTACAGATTCTGAGTCAGATAGAATATTATTTGCCTTAACATCTGTTTCAATACAAGTTTTTCTCCTGTGAATGTTTATATTTGTAATATTGTTTGAAGGAAGAGTAATTGTTACAGAAACAAGGATGTCACTTTGACCAGATTGTTTACCAGAACAAGGAATATCCACACTAAACATTTGCGATCCTTTTGGCATCAAACCAGTTGCTGATATATTTAATACTGGTTTTTCTAGCACTACTTGTTCTGGCGAATCAACTTTCACTTTATAATTTAGCTAAAAATTACGTAAAGCTTTCAGTGAATCTACTTATACAAGAAGAAATACATACAGGCTTCTCTTCCAGACTTTCCCAAGTAAAGTAAAATACATTATGTTTGTAAGGAACTGACAATATAAAATTTGAAGCCTGTTCATTGATAACTCCATTTCTAACATAAAACAATTCTGCATTTAAACCTGAAAAAAATCGATTGTACCTAGCTTTAAATGAAAAAAAAAATTATTGATCTTACCTAAAAGTCTTTGAACTTCATTCGTATCTATATAAAAATTAAAAGAGCCGAAACAGACATTTAGCAAAGTTACCACATAAATTAATATTTTTGGATTTGCTGGACTTCTAAAAACAATTTCCATGTCGGAAATTAGTTTTATTGTACAACTTTTCGTTTAAAAATCGGTATGGACAACATTATTCCATTCAAAATGTATCAACATTACCTACAGAACATCACAATTGTCACAAAAAAAATAATAAAACAGGCAACAGCCAGCCTGCGGTCTGCAGTCAGTCACCATGGTCAGTCACAAATAGTCACTGATTACAGGTATTATAACACGTTAATCAATCACTATAGGTGTTCCCCATAGATAATTCATATGTCATAACATCTTGTTTATAAACTTGATAACAATAAATAGAAACACAGTTAGATGTATTAGAAATAGAATTTATTAGGATTCAATATAATAAATTATATTCCTGAAACATTTAAGGGCGTGTGAAATTAATTCCTGTTTTTGACCATTTCTACAGATTGGCTCGTAAATGAGAGAGAGCATTGAAGTAGATTTTGACCCTATTGAAAAACAAATGGTGCATTATGGAATATTGTTCTTGCTGGATTTCGTTTAAAGCTACATACTACTAAAGGTAAGAAATATAAACCACAATATAATTAATATATAAGTGCTTAACTTTTTGTTATGTATGTTTTATATTTCATTCATAAAAACTTAATTTTATGGGGACCTTATAACAGCTATGGTTGTCTTGCGTTATGGTTCACTTTTTCACTTCAGATATAGGTTACTAGTATCTTATAAAGTCCATGAAATTTTCATTTGAGTTCTTGAGTAATAAAATCCACTGTCTGCTATGTATACTAAACAATTAACATTTGAAAATTGTTTAATTTTCTTTATAATCGTTGACCAATTAGAAATTACTGTAATACATAATATAATACCTCAAAGCACTTTAAAAGTGCCTTTTTTCCACCACACTTGTTCATTTCATTTAAAAATAGTTGTTATTTTAATAAGTTTATTACTATAAACTGTGTTACTGTTATTATGTTTTTTTTTCTTTTCCAAAACAGCAGTACCTCTAAATAATTTTAAGTCGTATACAACATATTTGTTTGATGTTGATAGAGAAAAGGGTATGGCATTGCTTTAATATTATATTATGTACCTTTTCTAGTAGGGAGGCAAAGTTAATATCTGAAAACTTTCATAATATTTTATTTTACAGGAACATAAAAATTCCATACACAATATGTTATGAAACATTGGTTGTATCAGTGCTCTTTGACTCTGGAAAGTAGTAATACCTGAAGTCTTGAGGAAGGCGTGAAGGTGCCTTTTTTTCCGTTGGGAACGAAGGCAGTGTGCGATAGCAGAAGGAAGGATTTATGACATTGAACAGGTAAGTAACAGTATCAATTAGAAATGATAAATGAGGTACCAGAAATTTCATTTTTTTTTTAACATTTGTAATCTGCTTCAAAAGGTCTTCTTGGCATTTGTAGCTCTATTACGTTATGCTCATTTGGCTACAAAAATTCACAATGAACATCGATTTCCAACTCCCAGTTTAAAAGCGTTTTTATTTCTTGATTATTAATATTTTAAACCGTGATTTTGAAAACAGGTTGATTTATAAGTAAAAGAATTAAAAACTGCCACTGCAGTCTGACACCCAGAATACTCTGCAGTGAAGTGGGTTGCCTATATCAAGGACCAACAGTCGGCAAACGTATTTAAAAGAATTTGTATTTTAAATTCAAATTATATGGCACCTTCGCGCGAAATTAAAGTAGTACGCTGTAGTGTGGATAAAGATAGAAATGTTACAGTACTAGTCGAAATTTGTAAGCCACTAAATTTTTAGATTTTAATAAAATAATTTAAATTTATTTGGTACATAAGACGTCTATAAAAATAATTCATTTTACACCACTTAATAATGTTAATGTAAATGAATTTTTATCACTTTGTTTTGTATATTTCTCGAATGTGGACATTTTTACCTTGTGTCCTGTACATTACAGCTTTTTATAGGATTTCTGATAGAGAANTCCTGTACATTACAATTTTTTATAGGATTTCTGATAGAGAAAGATGTTTATAGTTAAATATGCAGACAAAAAACTGTTAGTTTAATTTAGCAAAATTGTTGATTGATTGATTAAGAATAAAAGTAATCTACCCACCACCTTTTTTTAGTAAGCATATAGTAACAACGATAAGAACAAAGCAATGAATTTTTAATTTTCTGTCCAAAGATTGAGTAATTTGTTAACAGTTACTTCTTTCGTAGGCATCGGAAGTCTTCAAAAAGTACTATGACATTTTTTTTAACTACTAGTAGTGGTTAATATGCAATATTAATGTGAAAATTCATTTTAGATTTTCCAACCACTACAAACTCCCTCATTAACCTGATGGATGGAAAATCGAAAATGAATTCAAAAAGTATTGTTTTTTTAAAAAATCCGTGTTTTCAAATTACGTGTCAATGAAAATAAATGAAGTTTTAGTTAATTATTCTTTAAAAAAAATAACATGCAAATGAAAATGAAAATTTCCCACTCCTATACCAATGAAAGGTGCTTATCATTTTTTTCACAACGGTTTTATAACTAAAACTTCTTACGTTCCTGTATAACGTGAATAGTTTTTTAGGTATTTAAAGAAAACCAAAAGATAACAGTACATAAAAGTACAAAGTAATTGAAAATTTTGGGCGGTGACTTATTCAATTAAAAATGCTTCAACTTTTTAATAACTAAAATCCACAGATCAGATAAATTCAAGTGTAAATTAATTTATTTATCCTGTTTTAACGTTGTTTATCGTATATTCTACATGAAGGCCATTAATAATTTGCGAACAGGAAATTTAAACTACAAAAACCGTTTATTAATAGACTTAATAAACTTTAAATGTGAACATTTTTTTTTTAAACAACAATAAGGTACTTCTTAAATGTTATACAGTAATTACCTAGTTTCTAAATTTGATTCGTTTATGTTTAAAAAATTCACTTACTTGTTTATTCGGTCGAATTTTATTATATCACAGAATTGCGATAAGCCGACAAGTCAACATTATCGTGAAGTTATACAAGTTTTTATAATAGTTTAGAGTTTAGATTATTTTTGTTTTGTTGGTCGTGTTAATCATGATGTATAGTTTAAGATCCATAACCCAGATAAATCGACGATAATAAGTAAAGTGTACTTAACTAAGGAATTTCATTGCCTATAAATTGAAGCACATAAATAAAATAAGTTAACTCGCTAAAAGTGACTAACTTGTAACCACAGTAAAATACGTTATTTTATTTACTTATTAATCAATCAAGTTACAGGTCAAGCCCTAATAATACATAATAGAGAAATAAAAGTAATGTATAGATATTATTCACAAACAGTTTAATCAATTATCCAAACTTAATATGAGAAAAATGGGCATAGTTAAAAATGCCGACATAAAAGTGCTAGTTTTATTTGACAGAATTATGATGAGCGTATAAAAATGCAATAGAGTAATAATAGTAACGGAGATAGATGCTTCTTTATCATAAATAGAAATTGATTAAGAAGTAATGTAAAATGTACCCCTTTTTTTGGTAGCATATAGTAACAACGCAATGAACTTTTAATCTTCTGTCCAAACAGTAAGAAATTTGTAACAGTTATTTATTTCGTAGGCATGTGAAACCTAAAATTTATTTCTACCTTTTCAAAAAGTATTGTATTTTTAATAATGTCCGTGTTTTTAAATCGCAAGTTTCAGTGATAAAATTCTTGTAAAAAAGTCATGCACCTTTGGCACAAAAAAGGAAAAACTAGCTGTGATTTTGAATTATCTCAAATGAAAATTAAAATTTCCCAACGAAAGATGCTTGTCAATTTATTCACAACGGTTTTATAACTAAAACTTCTTACGTTCCTGTATGCGATGAATAAGTGGTTTTTTTCTTTTGTGATATGAGAAATAGTGTATATCATCTATGTCATCTTCTGGTTTTCTTTAAATAACAGAATGCAATTAATTGACTCTGCATTATGTATACGTATACAAAGTACATATTATGTCATCTTTTGGTACAAAATAACTACAAATTGTAGTTAATTAGTTACCTAATAACTTTATAAAAGCTTAAAATTCTGAATAATTATTATACATCAAGGTTATTAATAATGCGGACATAGGAGAATTAAACCACAGAAACTGTTTGTTAATATTACTATATATAATTACTAGAAAAACTTTAATTGCGTGCAATTTTTTTAAAAATAACAATAAGGTAGTTCTAAAATGTTATACTGCAATTAGCTAGTTTCTTAATTTCGTTCGTTTAATGTTTAAAAATTCAACTTGTCCGTTTGGTCGAATTTTATTATACCCAATAATGCATATATATATATATAAGATATAAGATCAGGCGATGGAACGCAAATTGAATTCTGTAAAACGCGGATGAAACTAAGCACGCGATTGGTTACAGCGTCGCAGACATCGAATTTAACGCATCTGATTGGCGTTTGTCTACGTCATCAGTGCTTCATGTGGTAGCAATCGCAAATTCGCGACAAGCCAGAGAGGCGTTTTGTTCATTATAAGTTCATAAAGTTTCGAGGTGGAAGGACGTGTTTTCGCGTCTCTTAAATTCAACTTATCGAGCTAATTTTTTCGCAAAATTAGTTTTAATTTGTTATACGTCTGAAAGGTTGGTTTGATTGATCCATGTTATATTACTATTATTCGTATTTGCCCACAGCATAAATTAATTTGACAAAATTAAAGGTTATATCTTCAGACATCAGGTGGCTACGTCGCCATTTTTAATGTTTTGTTATTTTATTGGCTTTTAATTGGTTTTCTATTACGAGTGTTTAATTCTTTTTTTTATCCATTTTCCGCATATATTTTGACTTTCATTTGAGAGAAAGGGAGAAAAGTGAAAAGGATTAAATATTTAAGTTTTCTGCGTAACAGATATCTATTAAATTAATTAGTTAATAATTGTTTTTGTCCGTTTACACAGATTAGCCAACAACTGAGAGAGATTGGAACTGATATCCTTTGCTTATTGAAAAGATAAGTTGTCTTCTTTGGTGTTTTAGCTGTTAACTTTTCATCTTGGAGGCTCTTGTAGTTAATTAAGGTGAGCATGCATACCATATTTTCTATATGTAGTGTATTTATTTGATATTAACAAAGAAAAAGATTCAGCATTAACAATGTATTGTGCACATTATTTACTTAATAATTATTATATCTGAACACTTTACAAGATTTCATTTTACAGGAACATTAGAAGAACTCCGTATACCATTAAATTATGAAGTTATGGAGCATTGGTTGTATTAGTCCTCATTTGCCCCGGAAAGTAGCTGTTCCCATGGTTCTAATAAAAGCATGAAAGTGCCTTTTTTCCATTGGGAACGAAGCTGTTAAATTTTCATCCTGGATGCTCTTGTAGTTAATTAAGGTGAGCATACATGCTGTATTGTATATATGTAGCGTATTTTTTTTTGATATTAAAAGACAAAAGGGTACGGCGTTACTTTTAACAATTTATTTATGCACTCTACTTAGTATGGGGTCTAAATTTATTATATTTGAATACTTTTTCTTATTATTNAACAACATCTCATAAATCACCTACCACCACTCATTTATTTAAAAAGCATCTAAAAGTAGTACTATTTAAACGAATAGAGACATTTCTACAAAGAACTGCAGAAAATTGAGGAAATAGGAAAAAAATGTATAAGAGAAACGTCTTAAACGCAACCATTCACACACCAATGAAAATGAATGTAAATTTATATAATTTGAGCAATCCCTATCTTAAGATGTTTTTGGTTTTAAGTCGCTTCACTAATGCTTATCAGAAAGGGGTCAAATTAATAAAATTACAGGAGAAGCATAAAATAATTTCAATTTCATATATGGAAGCATTCATATTACCGTATTGCCCTCAAATATTTTGGAACGTACATAGCCGCAGATTTACAGATATCTTTTTCTAAAGCTTTTAAAAATGAAAAAAGTAAGTGGGCTTTAGTACTGGAACCTGGAACTACATTTGCATGTTTATTATATCAGATGAATCCCTAGAAAATTCTTGGCAAATTTTTCATGTTTAATATACCTGAGTAACACATTGAACGGTATTATCTATGGTAGATATTCAACCTTGATAATAGCCTTGACTAAAACGTAAACCCAAATAATGCAGACAATCATAAAATGTAACCGTAAATGGTACACAGTTTCGTTATATTATCTACTCAACTGTATACTTTTATCAATGTCAACCATAAATGGAAAAACGAAAAATTTAATAAACATGTAATAATTACCAAAAGTAATTAGCCTCTAATGTAGATTACGTATACTTTATCAGTGACCCAGTCATACATGATAATTTAAAACAAAGACGGAGGGACAGGTAATACTTGATCGCTATGAAAATTCGAGAACATTTGTTACATCGTTGTCAAGTTGATTAATTTATAACCATGATTAAACTGAATATTTTAAAAAGCATAAGATTTTTTCAAATGTATACAAAAAGGTAGATGAAATAAACAACTATTTTACTTTAGTTTTAAATAGAACAAAAATTATCTCTACATCCCATCTAAACTAAACATCTAAGCATTATTATGAGATACTGCATTATATAATTGGATGTTAGAAACGCTTACAATTTAAAGTAAAACTGGCAACATCGGATGAATTGGAGAAAGGTTTAACTTTGACAACGATATTTTAATCCGTTATTTTTGACGTGTGTGCTCGTCTTGTGGAACGTCGTACTATAATAACGCTGTTTGAACATTTTAAACATCAATAAGTAGTAAGTTGTATTGAAAACATTAGTATAATTCTTTTAAGATTATACGTAACTTTTTCTTGTTAAAATTATAGATTAAACATGCCAACTCCAAGTTTACAAAAACCGGCTCCTAACTTCAAGGGCACCGCTGTAGTTAATGGCGAATTCAAAGAAATAAGCCTTAGCGACTACAAGGGACAATATGTGGTGCTTTTCTTTTATCCTCTCGATTTGTAAGTAGATTAATTTATGGTAGATTAAGTTTTCTTTATATATATTTTTTCATTTAGTACGTTCGTTTGCCCCACCGAAATCATTGCGTTTTCTGATCGCATTGATGAATTCAAAAAAATTAAAACCTCAGTAGTTGCTGCATCCACTGACAGCCATTTTTCGCATTTGGCTTGGGTAAATACCCCAAGAAAGCAGGGTGGTTTAGGAGAAATGAACATTCCTCTTTTGGCTGATAAATCAATGAAAATCTCTCGCGATTATGGAGTTTTGGACGAAGAATCTGGTGTTACTTTCCGTGGTCTATTCATTATTGATCCAAAAGGAATCTTACGCCAAATAACTATCAATGATCTTCCTGTAGGAAGATCAGTTGATGAAACTCTGAGATTAGTACAAGCATTCCAGTTCACAGATGAACATGGGGAGGTTTGCCCAGCTGGTTGGACCCCAGGCAAGAAGACTATTAAGCCAGAACCAACTGGAAGCAAAGATTATTTCCAGGCTGTAAACTAAGATGCTAATACTATGTTGCTATATAAGAATCAATACTGTGTTTTTGTTTGTATTCATATTATAATTGAATGTTATTTTTGGATTTCATTATCACTACAATAAATTTCTACCAGTCATTATTATCTTTGATTGCACATCATATACCTATTTTAACATAATTAGGAGTAGGAAAATAATGATTTGCCTGTAGTCAAAGACAAGCTTTGTGAATCACATGAGTGGTATTCTTTATTCAGTTAACTTGTTTACAACTGTTACATTAAACATACCACTTATACAGATGAAGAGATCCGTATCACTATAAACGCTAATCACTAATTAATTTCATACACAAATGAATTTTCTTTGATATGGTCACTATGTTACGTCAATTAAGGTGTTAATAAATAAATATAATAAAAGAAATGCATTTTTGACATTACACAAAACGTTATATTTAGTTTTTTAAGTATAAAATAAATTCTAGTTGTCTTTATACCTAATTTTAATACCATAATTGTACAGTTATCATAAACAATATAACATTAACCATTATGAAAACGTAGTAATGTTCTCTGCCAGTCTCAAATTGCAAACTTTGGACAGCACTCTTGGCTGTGATTTTATTCATAGGTAGTAATAGAACATTCAATATTCCACTATTACAAGTAAAGACAACATAATGAATATTTTACAATGACTAGATACTTATATAAAGCCTGTAACATTTTTTTACGTATTTAAGCCATAGCTTGACAAGTATTGATTCTGATAGATAAAATAAAATCAATTAGTCTTTTGTAAAGTTTATGAAACTTGAAATTTCGATATCAGTGTAACACTAGTCATATAATATGAATAATGAAAGCAACAAACATAAAAATGCCAAGTATTTTAAAACACATTTATACGTTACCAGATCATTAAAAAATCACAAACATTTGTAAATATTAATTCCTGCATGCGATACACAAGATAAAACAACACATTTGCTTATCAGTAGTATGTTTCAGTTAGGAATGCCTGATATCGAAAATGAAGATAACATTTTAGAATCGTTATGAATGAATATTAAAAAAAAAGTAGATGCAGTGTGCATTAGAAGAAGCTAAAGTATTTATGCGTCTTATTTTTAACTGTAATTATACTTAAAAGAGCAGTCAACATAGAAAGTTTTTCACAAATATTTGGTAAATCTACTTGCCACTTTTTTTTTATGCAAGCTAAATGTGCAAGAAGCACGAAGATATGGACTATTGCACCATAAAAGCGTATATTGTGACAATTACTGTCGAAGAAATATTGTCTATATAGAACTCGCCCAATAAAAAATATTTACATTCGCAACAAAGGGACAATAGATCAATCAATGATGTCTATTACAAAATAATATCTAGTATATTAGGCACTTTCAGTTAAATAGTTACTCGATTTAGATATATACTGGATTTTCCTGACCTGTTAGTAACCTGAACATTGAAGTTGGCATGGTTTTCATTAAAATCTAAAAAAAAGTACTTTTATTTTTTTTTAGAAGTCTATTTTATTGCGGTATCAATATCTGTATTGATAATACTTTTAAAATTTTAAATCACGCTTGACGAAAACAAATTAGGAGATAATTTGCAATCGGTCAAAGGTTACGCTATGGTAATGACGTCAAAGATATTTGATAAAATACGTAAATTTACCTTATCTTTCATTTTCGTTTTAAACAAACTATTTACTTAAAAACAAAGCCGTTTCTTAAAAAAAAGTACACTAGGAAGCACTTACCTCGCCTATTGACGTAGCTAATAAATTTACGATCTTCTCATGAGGAACAGCAACAACACTTTGATTATTAATTTCTATAATACGATGTCCTACCCGTACGCCACCTCTTTCAGCAATTCCTCCACGAAGTAAACTGCAGATCTTAAAAGATAAAGAATTTGTAAGAAAAGTAAAGAAAACAAATTAATTACGTCATACCACTCCGTTTTGAACACTAAAGCCGAGCTGATATTTAGTATCAGGCCGTTTTATTTTAACTTCTACTACAGGAGCACAAGGAACGACAGTTAGTTTAACGACGGTTTGATTTTTCGAATTTTTTATGTAATTCTGACAAGTAGACAAGGGAAGGCCTACTAAACTAATACCATTAATCGCTATTATTTGGTCACCAATGTTTAATTGGCCACATCTAGCTGCAGCTCCTGCAGGGGCCAAATTAGCAATTACAACTGTGGGCAACATTGAACCCCATCCTGATTCAACAATTACTACGCCTAGAATTTCACCTTTGGTTTTCGGTACGACAACCTTTAATAAAAATGACATTTTATTAAAATTAAAAGATCATTTGATCAATTTAGCAGTACCTCTTTTTGCATTTCTTTCTTAGCAAACATTTGTAGTTCATCGCCGAAAATTTCTTGGGAATTTAAAACTTCTTGGTAATCCATTTCTTTTACAAAGCTATGGTCTTCAATTCCATTTGCTTTTAAAAATTCCATATAAGCCACTTGAAATGCCTGTCCAATTGATTGAGCTATAAATTGTGCCTCTTCACTTTCGAAGACGTGACAAATCATTTTAGGAGTTCGGTTGATTTTTGGAGCTTCTTCCATTTCGTGTGGAACAAAACGACGCCGGGCCATCAATACCACCAAATCACCGATGTCAGCAATATAGGAGATTGTTCTTAAAGCATGGTCCATCATTATTTCTTTCAAATCCGTGTTTAACACCATTATTTTCTCTGTTGAAATGAACAGGTCCACTTCTGTACTAGGTTGACTTTCTCCGTCGGGTGCCTAAATGTTAGAAAATTCAAATTAGTTAAACGAAATACTTTAAGGAATATCCTCACTACTTACCAAAGCCTTTTTTATTCCAAATTGAAAGCAAAAGTAGAAAATAAAAAAGTTCAATAATTACACAACAGTAGGATAAAAAGTATACAGATTTATAGTTATTACATTCTTATTAAATGTAAATTTACCAAGTGAAAATGTGTCACATATAATACGAATTAAAGTATTAAACTAATTATACCTATCATTTAAGTATTTTTTAGACTGTAGTATAATTCTACACTTTGAGTAAAAAAAGGCGGTAGTCAGTGTGACGTATGAAATAAAGGGAAAAAACCGACCTTAATTTTTGTAACAGCAACTTCAACCATATTTTTCTTTAGTCTTTTTCGACGTTTCCGACCTCCTTCCTCATCCACTTCAACGGATCCAAGAAACTGAAGACGAAACACAGTCCCATTTGTTCCAACACCCAATTGCAGTGAATGGGCATTGTGCATGTGCCGAGTCCCTTCATATACTTTTTTTTCTGAATCATTTACTATTTTACCAATATACGTTACTATCTATACAACTCACGTACAGGGTGAGTAATCAATATTTTTTTTAAATCACTCAATAGCTTTCTAATTTCACGAGATAAAACTTACTATATTTTATATCTTTGAAATGAATGAAAATGTATTCTACAGCAACTCTTTCTAAACCACCCTGTATATTATATTAAAGAATACAAATTTCTTCATTTGCTTTTGTTTGATAACTAAGTTCTAAAGATACTTTCAGGTTTGTAAAGCATTTGAGTGATTACTCCTGAGGAAGAACTACCACCCTGTACACAAGGATAAGATTAATAAGAAGGGACAAAATCCTGACGTACTTATTATGAAATGTGTACATGTAGGTGTTCAATAATTTTTATTTTTTTATGCGCTTTTGTAATGATTATGAACGAATAGGCTTTTGTCCCGGGGATAGTAGAAAAAGAAGCAATCGTAGTTAAATGCTCACCCGACATAACTTGTGTATCAGGCTCGCAGGTAGGTTTAGGTTCTAATACAGACGAAGCATCATCGTTAGAATTAGCATTTTCAGGAGTGGTAGCGTCAAAAAACGGCTCGCAATTTTCAATCATTTGGTTGGGTACCTCCTGCAAATTTGTCCCATCTTATCACCGAAGATAGTAATAAATGCCATTACGTATAATTTAAATTGAGAAAAAGAAAACAAACAGTACAACTATATAGTGCAAAGTAGTAAGTTACAAGAAGTAACATCTAAAGCAGATCGAGAGGGGCGAGGGCACAGGGCGAGGAGTACGTGGGAATATGTGCAAGAAAGTTTTCAATTTTCAGAGACAAACATGTAGCAGGCACCAACCAAACAGAGCACAGGAAGCGTGCGCTCAGGTACTGCATCAGTTGAAAATGGGGGAAGGAGGTACATCTTTATCATTATAATCTATATTCTATTCTCCATTATTAATACTAGTCTTCTTTATTCGTACGATAAACGAAAAACTGTTTCTTTTAAATAACTTCAAGTATCGTGAATGTAATGAAAATGGGGACTAGTACATCAATATTGATTAAATTTTTAAACTTTCATATTTTTACTCTAAAACATTGAAAAACCAAGCAAACATATTTTTATAATTTATTTATAGTCTCCATTTACACTACACTAAACAAGATCTAAAATCAGCAAAATCCCTGTTTTCTTAATATTTTAATAAATATAAGACTACGAGATTTTGCATCTACATAAAATATTTATTTTATTATTACTATTCTTGGGTATTCTTCTAGGTAATACAAAACAAGTCGTGCTTTACTAATCATGCCACTCATGCCCTTTGTTTCGGGAATATCTCACTACTTATATTTTTTGTCTACACACCTAGCTTTATTTTATGGTAAATAAATATTGCATGATTGGAAGATCTTTGTATTAAAAATTATGGTAAACCCAATTACCCAATAAAATCAAACATTTACGACCTTTGTCTTTTATAATGATATATCGAATTTTCAGTAATATTTATATTTTTGTGCCAATTTAAAATTTATAGACATGCAATGTTGTTATTACCTTTATTCTAGAAACAGCTTCTTCAGCTTGCATCATCCTTGTTGTCTTGGTGGGCTGACCTTCACAAACTAGTTGAGTAGAACCTAAGTATCTCGCACGAAAAAGTACCCCTTCTATCAGCACTGAGTGATCAAATGTATCTGAAATATAAATGAAACATATATTAGTTTTGTGGCTATCAAACTTTTGATAAGTCTACTTACAAAATAAAAAAATCCATGTTAAGCAAAATAAAAGGGACAATATCAGTATCAATATTGCAGATATTAAGTAATTAATAATACATACCTTCTTTGTTGCGACCTTTTTTTTTGATATCTTTCTCCTGTAAATAATAATTTTGTTTAGTTACAGTTTCTGAAAATTTTTACATTATCCTACACACTACAAATACTATTAAGAAATAAAAACATTGGCGAAACAAAAATTAAAATATTTTTAACAATAAAGCAAAACAACGCATGCTATACCAAAACCCAAATGAATCAATTTAAAAGAAGAGGTATTTACAAATATGAATATGTATAAAAAAACTTTCCAAAAAATAGCACATGCGTTCTCACACCTTTTTAAGTTTAACTGATGCAGTAGATCCTTTTTGGCTTTGAGGGGACCGACTTTTGTCTGAAGTGGCTGTGGGTGAGGAGGGTCTAGAATTTTGGGAGTCAGGAGAAATCAAAGGCATAACTCCTTCATTTAAGGCATGCATATGATTTGGAGTAGAAAGGCAATGTGGAGGCAATATAGTCCGACTTTTAGGTTTTCTCCAACCCTAGTGACACAAACATTAATTTGTCAAAAAATATCAAACACCAGATTAGTGGCCGTGTTACTACATTTTATTTTATTTAATGGTTACTACGATATTTTTGTAAATAAAAAAATTTTATTTGCTAGTACCTAATCATACATGACATCACAAGTTATAAAAATAAGCAAACGTAAAAAATAGAAATAGATATAAACCCAAACCACACTATTCGTGAACAAAACAAGCTGAATTAACAACAAAACATACAAGTAGTATAAAGAGTGATTAATTTTCTCTGCACAACATATTTATTATAAAAAGCAAAATTTTAGTAAACAAAATAGCTTTTTATTGTAATTGGCCAGTATCATTTGATAAAATATATCTTAAATAAATTATCAAAAGTGTAACGAGTTAGCATTTTAAAGTATCTTAAGTATGAAATTTTTGTAAGCTATTTCTTTTACCTTATCGTCATAAAATCCTTGGTCGTCAGTTCTTTGTTGTCCTAAAAGTCTGTCGGTTTCTAAATCAGTATCAGCCTCTTCTGAAGTAATAAATCAAACAAATAAAAACATGGATAATGAATTAAACTGCAAAAAAATCACCTTCATCACCTCCTTCTTCGCCACTTTGAACCTTTCTATCGGAATCAATACTGACTCCTGATACACCCCTTTGTCTAAAATAATATTTAATTGAAAATAATTGCGATTGCAGCAGTGCTCGAACAGGCGTAGGAATTTTAGCGTTAGTAAATCTTTGTTAAACGTTTAAATGTATAAATATTAAACCAAATTTTGAAATAAAGATACAATACGCCTATTATTTGAAAATGAATACCTTGGTACCCACACAGGACTAACATTATTCGTTTCATCAGGTTCTTCACCATAGTAATTAGCCGGTAGTGTTTTAGTTCGTTGAAGAGTTAAACGAATATCGCGTATGGCAGCCTCAACATCTTCACCTTTTTCGCCTGATAAACAACGGTAGGGAGCCGGAGCAGGTGGTGGAGGAGTTTTCTCGCCTAGGATTTAATTTTATTTTTACCAACTTACAAAAAAACACTGAGTCATATTAAACGCACTGTGAGAATCCATGTGTGAAAGTATTTCTTCAAATCCTCCTTTACAGTTGTTTAAATTTATAGGCGATACACTGATGAGTTCCTTTGGAAGAGAAATGCCATTTTCTGAACCGTTTACTGTCGTTACTTGTTTACCGTTGCTACTTTTACTGATATCTGCGTCATGATGTTTTTTCGAAATTACTCCGGGATTATTGTTATCTGTATCACTAGCATGGCCCGAAGACAGACCATCTTCTAAAACGGGCATGCTACTACACAGCCTTGAAGAATCATTAGTCATACTAATATTTCCGTTTGATCCTAGACAATAGAAAATGTGAGAAATTATATTTACTCCTTGAAGATTGAATATATCACTTGCCTAGCAGTCCAACGGATGGAACAATTTCATTTTCCATCACCATCAATGAAACTTCACTGTCCAAATCGCCACAATTAGAATCGCAATCAGTTGTTTCAGGTGATAGCGTAAAATTCCTGCTTTGCCCAACTTGTAAACCAACTTCTGTTTCACCCAGATCTTCACTAGAACCTGTCCCAACTGATAAATCTAAAAAATTGTTATCGTGTTCTGTTGCTTCATATTCCTAAAACGAAAAAATATTTTATTATATCTTCATATTATTTAGAACAAAGAAATACCTGATGTCCAGTGATTGGATACTTGTTTGGGGACGTAACCGTGAAAGGAAATTCCATATGGTCTCTCCGTCCTTTTGCCAGTCTTTGTCCAACATAAGAACTACCGGAAGTGTCCTGTGGCCTCCGTAATTCGTATTCCAAATCTTGAAATTCCGTCTCTAATCTATTTTCTTCTGGTTGGCATTTGAAAAATTCTTCTAATACTTTCCTAGTTTCCGAAAATTCGTATAAATAATCAAATGTAGATGCAGTTGTCGGTTGTGGTGGCAACGGCTGTGATTTTCTCTGAAATATTAATCAAGATCATTAATAAAACAATTATTTTTAATTGTATATTTACACTTGCTACACTGGTTTCAATTGTTATATTTGTTTCAGGCGAATCTGAAGTTGTTGTAATCACCCTTTGAGGAAATCCTGGTCTTGGTAAGCAGACACTTGGGGATGCAAGTAAACTTTGTGCACTTGGTAACTGAGGATGTGAATTTGTTTCCACATGACGGGGTCCGTATCGTTTCGGCGAACCTTCATACACTGCAATTGGTAAATTTCCTATCATGGTTGTTGCTTTTTCTAGTTTTGTTTTAACAGAATTATCACTGTGATTTACTTCTGGATACTTTGTAACACTTTTATATCTATCTTGATTCCACTGATCTTCAATATCATCAAATACAACTACGTCGCCCGGATATTTAATATTTGGAGCGGCATTATTTTTTTCATTTTCTGTTACTGTGCTGTTTTGACTTATTGAAGATACTTCAGATGAAAATACTGTTTCAGTGAACTGTTTGTTATTTTTTACTTTCTTTAATTCATCACAATGACTTCTCAGTTCCCACACTCCATGACCAATAGGTGACTTTTGACATTTCTTTTTCTCAGATTCATCATTAAAATTATTCGAATTTCTAGATTTTCTTACTGCTTTACTTCTACTTTGTGAATAAATTTCCCTTCCCCCAGCAATTTCTATTATCCTAAAAAATTTAGAATTACACCTTTTTATATGAAACTAATTAAACCTCAATACCTTGGATCATGTAATTTGTTATGAAGTGGTTCTAAATTTTCAGATTCTATTAATTCATCTTCATTTTCTGATAAGCGTGTATGAGTTTCAGTTTCTTTACTATCATTACTTGGTTCTTCCCACCTGTTAGAAAACAATATCAAAAAGTATGCTGCATTTGAGAAAAAATTATGAACAACAAAACTATGAAGCAGAATAAAAATTTCTAAATCTTACCTGTCATTATTACTTTTTTCAATGTTCATTGCAGGAGGTTTTTCATTATCAATATCGTGTTCTCTAATAGCAGCAATAACAGGATTAAGATTTATATCACTTCTTGGCCGACACTTAGGGAATAATTTACTAATTTGTTCTGTATTTTCACTTACATCCACATTATCAAGAGCAAGAGTTATGCTGGTGGTCATTATGGAACAGAAATTTGTTTCCAATTTTTATTGAACATCTGCAGGTGATTATGAAGAACTAAATTTGCTAAAAATAACAAACACATGATAAAAAATAACTACAAGTATGAGAAATTTATTTTTAAGTAATTATCCCGGTTAAAATGTTTGTATCAGACATCTAACCAAAAAGTTAGGTTACAACAAAATTTACATACTATTTACATTAACAAACAACAACAAAAATAAAAAGAAGTGATTCATATGTTAAAAAGTATTTCATACCATACACAAGTCAGTATATGTATCATTTGTAATTACTTTCAAAATATTCAACCACAAATGAAAATAATGGTGTTATTGATGGAAGGCAATTAATTGTTGACTTCACTTCAACTTTTTATTAATTCTTACGCTAATTTGCACTTATTTGTTTATTTGTTGCAAATTCACTTCAAGAATTAACATAGCTCCCCACTCGCGAAAACACCGCACAACTTAAGATCAATATTCTGCACAATACTTGACACGCGAATGTTACGACAGAGCAGTGGACAGAGCGACAGACATTTACAGATATTGACGGTTCTTTCAAAGAATTTATGGTACCTACTTTAACTGTAAAATAAGAATTATAAAATGTAATTTGGTATATTACCGAATAGCGAAAAATGTTTTTTATTAAAAAAATATGCTTTTTAAATAAGAAATATTTTAAAAGCACTTCTTCTTTTTTAAAAAGTTAAAAAGTTTTCGTATGATTAGCATACATTAATATTGATTATATTTTTTAATTCCTAGTAATAACACAAACTATACCTATTAATATGTAATGAAGGTTTTAATACAATATTTTTGGCCACAGATTTACGGACCATAACTTGAAACAATATTGAAATTGTTAAACTTACAAGAAGGGCAATCCTATTTATTCTATAGAAATATGTCACACTAAAATTAGGAAATTATTTCTAACTGCCTCCAACTTTTATTGTTACTTTCAACAAAAACAACTTAATTGTAAGATATATTCTGTGGCAACTTTACGCTGATGTAGGAATCCACAATTTAATAAATTAAAAAATTATATTTCAACTAAAAAGATGATCAATTACTTACAAATTTATGGAGAACCATTTTTCACAGTTAAAAATAATTTATTTAAATTAATCAAAACCAAAATAACAATAATTTTACATTTAAATATCTTGCCAGTGTATTGCGCCATCTATTGAAGAACTGGTTAACTGTTTCTAAGCTCGAATACGTAATTATAGAGTGCGTGGCAATCACAAGAGGCGCAACAATGTCGTTTTAAAACAGTAAAAAGTTATTTTATTTATATATTTTAGAAAATAACTATTTGAAAATTATTAAGTACCTAAAGTATATAAAGATAAACGAAAGATTTTTCTCATGTGTAAGGGATTAAAAAAAATTAACAATCGTTTTATCGCATAATACTCTTTTATTATTTGCCATGAACGCATATATGCAGTGGTACAAGTTGTATATATTTTACATATACAATACTTCAAATACTTAATGGGCAAACTTTAATTACGAATACAATTATTACGAATTCACGCATAAAATTACAATATTTCTTGTTAACAATCTTCACACTTAAAAATTATATTTAACTCCAGTCTTTTATTGTTATTTTTGGTAAATTTCCTATCATGGTTGTTGCTTTTTCTAGTTTTGTTTTAACAGAATTATCACTGTGATTTACTTCTGGATACTTTGTAACACTTTTATATCTATCTTGATTCCACTGATCTTCAATATCATCAAATACAACTACGTCGCCCGGATATTTAATATTTGGAGCGGCATTATTTTTTTCATTTTCTGTTACTGTGCTGTTTTGACTTATTGAAGATACTTCAGATGAAAATACTGTTTCAGTGAACTGTTTGTTATTTTTTACTTTCTTTAATTCATCACAATGACTTCTCAGTTCCCACACTCCATGACCAATAGGTGACTTTTGACATTTCTTTTTCTCAGATTCATCATTAAAATTATTCGAATTTCTAGATTTTCTTACTGCTTTACTTCTACTTTGTGAATAAATTTCCCTTCCCCCAGCAATTTCTATTATCCTAAAAAATTTAGAATTACACCTTTTTATATGAAACTAATTAAACCTCAATACCTTGGATCATGTAATTTGTTATGAAGTGGTTCTAAATTTTCAGATTCTATTAATTCATCTTCATTTTCTGATAAGCGTGTATGAGTTTCAGTTTCTTTACTATCATTACTTGGTTCTTCCCACCTGTTAGAAAACAATATCAAAAAGTATGCTGCATTTGAGAAAAAATTATGAACAACAAAACTATGAAGCAGAATAAAAATTTCTAAATCTTACCTGTCATTATTACTTTTTTCAATGTTCATTGCAGGAGGTTTTTCATTATCAATATCGTGTTCTCTAATAGCAGCAATAACAGGATTAAGATTTATATCACTTCTTGGCCGACACTTAGGGAATAATTTACTAATTTGTTCTGTATTTTCACTTACATCCACATTATCAAGAGCAAGAGTTATGCTGGTGGTCATTATGGAACAGAAATTTGTTTCCAATTTTTATTGAACATCTGCAGGTGATTATGAAGAACTAAATTTGCTAAAAATAACAAACACATGATAAAAAATAACTACAAGTATGAGAAATTTATTTTTAAGTAATTATCCCGGTTAAAATGTTTGTATCAGACATCTAACCAAAAAGTTAGGTTACAACAAAATTTACATACTATTTACATTAACAAACAACAACAAAAATAAAAAGAAGTGATTCATATGTTAAAAAGTATTTCATACCATACACAAGTCAGTATATGTATCATTTGTAATTACTTTCAAAATATTCAACCACAAATGAAAATAATGGTGTTATTGATGGAAGGCAATTAATTGTTGACTTCACTTCAACTTTTTATTAATTCTTACGCTAATTTGCACTTATTTGTTTATTTGTTGCAAATTCACTTCAAGAATTAACATAGCTCCCCACTCGCGAAAACACCGCACAACTTAAGATCAATATTCTGCACAATACTTGACACGCGAATGTTACGACAGAGCAGTGGACAGAGCGACAGACATTTACAGATATTGACGGTTCTTTCAAAGAATTTATGGTACCTACTTTAACTGTAAAATAAGAATTATAAAATGTAATTTGGTATATTACCGAATAGCGAAAAATGTTTTTTATTAAAAAAATATGCTTTTTAAATAAGAAATATTTTAAAAGCACTTCTTCTTTTTTAAAAAGTTAAAAAGTTTTCGTATGATTAGCATACATTAATATTGATTATATTTTTTAATTCCTAGTAATAACACAAACTATACCTATTAATATGTAATGAAGGTTTTAATACAATATTTTTGGCCACAGATTTACGGACCATAACTTGAAACAATATTGAAATTGTTAAACTTACAAGAAGGGCAATCCTATTTATTCTATAGAAATATGTCACACTAAAATTAGGAAATTATTTCTAACTGCCTCCAACTTTTATTGT